AATAGCTAAGCTGTGGAAACAACCCAAATGCCCAAAAATAGATGACTGGATAAAGAAGAGGTGGTACATAACACACCATGGACTATTACTCAGCAATCAAAAGAGATAAACTCATGTAATTTCCAGCAACATGGATGGAGCTGAAGGGATCATGCTCAGCGAATTAAGCCAGAAAGAAAAAGAAAAATACCGGACGGTCTCCCTCATAGCAGGAATTTAGAAAACCTAAATAAGGGACCAGGAAATTTAGAAAACTTAAATTAAGGGACCAGGAGAAAGACTAATGATGATAAAGTAAAAATCAAAATCAACAGGCAACTATAAACCAGAGACACACTACAGGGAGGGAAAGGGAGTAGGATCAAAACAAGGGGGGAGGGGTGGAGAATTTTACAGAGATGATAACCAAGATGAAAATGCATACACTGTACAAAAATGAAAAATGATGTAAAAATATATAAAATAAAAATTAAGTCAGCAATTTATATACATTAACAACTTATATGCAAGATCATCTTTGAAAAAATGTATTAAATATTTTCAAAATATAGCTTACAATTCTAGCAAAAATGGAAACATTACACACCCAGACTTCAAATTATACAACAAAACATTAACAAAACAATGTGGTATTGGAATGAAAATAGACACACAGATCAATGAAACAGAATTGAGAGTCCAGAAGTAAACCCACTTCTAATTCATGACAAAGGAGCCAGGAACACACAGTGGAGAAAGGAAAGTCTATTCAACAAATGGTGTAGGGAAAACTGGATAGCCACTTACAAAAAAGTGAAACTAGACCACTGTTTCATGCCACACACAAAAAATTATTTCAAAATGGATCAAAGACTTGGATGTAGGATCTGAAAACTAAAAACACAGGCAAACCACTCCAAGACATTGTCTTTGGGGATGTGTTTGGTTTCTCAACTCCAAGGGATATGAAAGTAAAAGCAAGGAAAACAAAAGCAAAAGTAAATAGGACTACCTCAGCTATTTGGAGTTGTAGCCAAGGATCCACAAGTAAGTATAAAAGACTTGGACCAGATTATATCTTACGCTATGACTAAAGGCACCATATTCAGAAGAGCCATTCCACTTCCTTTTAGTACACTTACTATTTTCAGAATTAACTGTGTGGTTTTTCGGTCTATGAAGTAGAAAGACTGCGACAGGCATAGTTCTTTTACGGAAGAACTTGAAAAACACTTAGCTACCCCTATATAAACTTGAAATACATGGCAATGAATAAATACTTGTAATAACCCTGAATCAATAGGAAAATTTATCTTCAGAATGTGTAATAAGTTAATAGAACATTAAATGTTTTAGGAATATTTTCACATAAGATGGTTAAAATAAGTTTGTGCTTAAAAAAATACACTTTAATCAAGAAATACTCATCAGCAAAAACTTTGAGAAAACAGGATAAATTACCTAAGAAATACAATTTATGTGAATACTGTGGTGAGCATTTTATAAGCACTTTTGAAGAATTTTCTAAAATCTCTCATGGCACCTCTGCACTATTTATTCCCATTTCAAATGAGGAAACAGGCACAAAAAGGGTTATAACCTTCTCCAAGGTCATAAAACAATTAGGCAGGTAATCAACATTGAAACCAGGTTATATTACTTCTATACTTTCAGTCCTAAACACTAAAACCTGTTACTGGGCAGATAATATTTCTTTACAACCTAGTTCTTCAAAAGTATCAATATTAAATTTTAACATTCCATCTCACCATTCACCAACATTCTTGAGGTATTTCTTGAATTGTATTAACTGCCAGTCATATGTTTGTATGTGGAAAAACACCAAAAATGTAAATGTACTACATAATCTGTATAATTTTCTTCTAATTTACAATAAGAAAAATTACACAATTGGTATACGGTTGGCCTAATTATTGGCAAAAGGCAACAAAATAAATATTAGTATAACCACTACATTGTAATTATAATTCTTTCAAGAAATTAATCAGTTTACTTACCAAGGATGACATATTGTTGGGGATTTTTCAAGTGACTGGAATATATATAATTTTGGTCCTCTATAGGCACTAGCTTAGCTATGGAGGAAATTTTTAAGACTAGTTGGTTAAGTTATAGTTTTGTTAACATCATTAGTTGCCTAATTTGACCCTATTTTCCGCCAAATTAATAATTTACCAATAGAAAAGATCAAAATAATAGAAATGAAGATACTGAAGTTAGGTGATAAATACATGGACAAAGTTTCAACCAAAATAAAGAAAATATTAAAAAGTACCCAATGGAAAACAAAGAGCTGAATAAAAAAAAGTGAAAACTTCATAGATGTGTCAACAACAGACTCACCAACAGTTTTTTTTTTTTTTAAAAAAAGGCAAGAGGCAATCTATGACATATAGGTACACTCCCAACAAATCAATACAAAAGGCCAACTCTCTTCACAGACCTAGAGAACAACTAATATGTTTTTCAGCAGAACAAGGCTTCAAAGACAAAAAATTTTAATAACAAATATCCAACAGAAAAGACATCAGATAATTTTTTAAAAAACAAGATACAGTAGTAACAATATGGGGGGGGGGGAAACAATAGAAAAGTAGGGAGGGATACTGTATCCTTGACTCAAGTGTAAAACTAAAATGTGTTATTATTCTGAATGTGAGGGAAGAGAGAGGGCTAAGAAAAATTCATTGTTTAGGAACATTCTCTTCAGAAGTAGCCCCAAAATTATGATAATGGTATTTATAGAGAATGAAATGTAAACTTAGTATGTGATTCGGCCTAACAGTGACTGTTTATTTATATGATGATAATGCAAAGACCATGACAGACTTTCAAATTTTAGATCAGCAACATATTATGCTTTTAGGCACAATATATTGCCAACCATGAAAATTAAATGTATAATAAAGAGAAAAATAGGATTCTGGCCAGGGTGTGGTAAAAAGGGAAGTGGAGTAAAGGGAAGAGATACTAATAGAGATTTAACCACATTAAAATTACAGCAGATGACCTCTGCTTTCCTGCCCACTGTTCTTCTAAGCAAGTGTAATTCAATAAATCCCTTTGCTGTTCTCAAAAAAAAACTTAAAAATTAATTAAAATTACAAAAGTAACAATAGAAAACTTTAAATATCCACCCCCACTCCTGAAAAGGAAATAGGAATGGAAATAGGATTTAATTTGCCATCTTAAGAAATCAATCTACAAATTGGTAAGTTTAATAAATCAAGTGGATAAATCAGGATTTAGTATAAGGATATCTTCTAAAATCACCAGAATAGGGAAAAGGAGAAACTAGGATAAGAAATGCAGAAAACTTGATATTCATACTAAGAATCTCTATTACTTGATCTTTTCCCATTTAGTTATATGCTTCAATAAAAATATTTTAAAAGTTAAAAACATTCATTTATTCTAGAACCTCAAAGTATCTTAAACTACTCAGTCCATATTAAGTTTTCTTGTCTGCCACTGTGCTCTATGCAAAGCTCTCCTTGCCTCCTCTTAATTTTGCTTCCTCATTTTTCCAAGTCTGATCTGCTTTCTCTACTGTCCTCTTTAAGTCATGACAGGCCACCCCCCTCCTTAGATAAACCAAATACCTTCACTTGATTGGTATATTCTGCACAAGTTCCATCTCCTTTTTCTTTCCTTTTACTTTCCAACCCCCCAAAAAAAAGTCTTTAATTCACCCGCTAAAATATCGTTTTTAAACACCAAATGAATAATGATTTTTATGTCCCTCATTTATCGAAGCATTTTACTTAGTGCCTGTCTTCTTTTTTTCTTTTTCCCCCAAAACATGGGTGAGAACAAAGAGGAAGGGGAAATACCTCACTAGAACAGTGTTCTAAAGAACATCTAGGGAAATGCTCTCATGAAATATTCCAGTTACAAACGTGTTACTGCTTTGTTCCAGAACAGTTAATCTTCTGGCCTTTGGCAATGAAGAAAAAAAATCCAAATACAGAATTAAAAACAAGGACCTCCCTGGTGGTGCAAGGGGTTAAGACGCAACCTATGAAGCTGTCCGCAGCCTCTGCAGCACGAGTTCAATCCCCGGCCAGCCAGGGAGCAACCCACATGGCGCAGCAGACCTCTCCTGACTTGCCCACTGCTCCCCTCAGCAGTGTACTTCGGTTGATCTGCCTGTTCTGTTCCCCTCTCTGTCTCTGGTGAATCCTCTCACCCCCACACCTCTGGCCTGTACCCCAGCTCTCATATGCATAAATAAATAAATCTTTAGAAAAAAAATTAAAAACAACCAACTTGTAGGCATAAATATTGTGATATTAACTATACTTAATTGCCTTTCCTTTCATAATCATATTAATGTTCAAGAATACAAACCTGAATTAAGGAAACATTCTAAAACTACTGAGTCCAAAATTCAAAATGATGGCTCATTTCCTCAATACTGCCCTATAGTAAACTTCAACATGCCCACTAAAAACAGCAATATCTTACAAATTAAGATAAAAGCAAGAAATAAAACTGTATCAGAAGTCTAAATAAACTAAAAAGACTGAAATTTAACATGAAACAATATCCTGGTTTGCTTTAAAATATAATCAATTCTTGGGGCCTCCCTGGTGGTGCAGGTGGTTGAGCACAGCGCTGTGAAGCTGTCCGCAGCCTCTACAGTGCCAGTTGGATCCCCGCCGGCCACAGAGCAACCCACATGGCGAGGCAGACCTCTCCTGTCTCGCCCACTGCTCCCCTCAGCAATGTATTTCGGTCATTCTGCCTGTTCTGTTCCACACTCTGTCTCTGGTGAATCCTCTCATCCTCCTGCACGTCTGGCCTGTACCCTGGTTCTTGTATAAATAAGTAAAATCTTTAAAAAAAAATTTAAAAAAATAAAATATAATCAATTCTTACTTTAAAAAATGTATAGATTTGTTGCTTTTTCATTCACTTATCTTAACAAAAATATATCATCTTTCTTGTAAATAGACATGAATGACTGAAAGACCCATATAAAAGTACTGGTAGAAGAAAAAAAACTAATGGAACCATATGGAAAAACTAGCTGATCTTATTATTATCAATGCCAAACAAGTCTTTAAATGAATTAAAATTTATTTAATTAAACATAGTTACTTTCACAATTGTCTACAGTCATAGTAAATACAGTTCTTGGCATAAACACAGCCTTTGGTGTTTAAAACATACCTGCAAGATTGCATATATAAAACTCCCATTATTATTTATGTGATAGTGGCTCTGTTACTCAAATTAAAATAATTACACTATCTAGAATAAAATAAAAAGGAAATAATTTACTCATAAGATTCATATTTAAATCATCTTTATTTACAAAATACTATCCTGAGAATTATAATTTCATGAAGCTTCAATTTGAGCAAAAGTATAATCACTTAAGTAACAACAGTTACTTAAACTGAAAATGAGAGAAGTCAAAATTACTTTTGAAGAGGACTAAAAATTTTGTCAAGTTTCTTGTGGTTCTGCATTTTCAGTAGTAGGCTCATTTGAAGGCAGAATCGACTCTGAAGGAAACTCACTTCTACTTTCAGGATGTGGGGGAGGTGAGGGAAAATATCCAGCTCTTGGGGGTAGAAAAGGAGGGAAACCTCTTGATGAATAGACATTTCTCACTGTTGAAAGATTGGTAAAAGACATTTTTAATGTTAAGCACCTCTACTGCAGTCCTAATAAATCATAAGCTTATAACTTCCAGCACTGATTTTTATATCGAAAAATTGACACCAGAATAATTACTTAATCTAATAAATGAAATTTTACATTTAGAAAAACATACACTCGCCAACTACACATGACTAAAGGAAACACTATTAATTTTACATGTTTTTTGACCTATGTAAAGCTAACATCTTAACACTTTAAAAGATAGAAATTATTTCCAAATACACAAAACTTCTTTTTAAAAGTTTTCACGTGTAATTTTCACCAGACTTAAAATTCAAATCAGTAGTTCCTAATTCTAATTTGGCATTATCCTAAAACATTTCCAGTTAAATTAAAAATCATATCGGAAGCCTCCCTAATGGCACAAGGGGTTAAGCACCTCACTATGAAGCAATCCGCAGACTCTGTAGCACAAGTTCGATCTCCAGCCTGGCAGGGAGCAACCCACATGGCACAGCAGACCTCTCCTGTCTCACCCACTGCTCCCCTCAGCAGTGTATTTTAGTCAGTCTGCCTGTTCTGTTCCCCACTCTGTCTCTGGTGAATCCTCTCACCCCCTGCATCTCTGGCCTATACCCTAGCTCTTGTATGCATAAATAAATAAATCCTAAAAAAAAAAAATCATATTGGAAGCGCTCCCACCCAGCTGTAACTATGCAGGTGCTTCTCCTTCCCTTTCTCCTTTTGGTTATAAACCGATCCTTTCAAATGTTTAAAAAAAAAAATACTGAAATCCCCCAAATAAAATTCATTTTAATTCACCTTGAACATTAAAAATAATGGAGAAATAAGGGAAGGGAATGAGCACATGAGACAAATAATAGGCTTTTTGTGTAGCATTTGTAACCATGTATTTATTCTGTAGAAACATACATTTCTACATGAGAATGTATAGATATAAAAACAAATTTTTTGTTTCTTATGTGATCTACAGAATTGACTAATCAAGTGATCAACTGACTAATGAAACACATTAACTATTAATTAAAGAAGATAAACATTTGAGGTTATAAATAAGTAGGGCTACATTGGGACTACTTATAAAAAAATTTTGTTAAATACTTTATCAGCAATTTTAATGCTAAAATATAAATTGTAATTATTTTTAATAGTTGACAACAATAGCAGTTTCTAGCAAGTAAGGTACAAATAACTTTAGTCTTAACATATGACTGCTACAAAAAAGCTAATGATTTTCTTGACTACAGTATCCATCTAGTGATAGCTGGCTAATTTCCCAATTTGAAAAAGTAATGGCACACTCCCAGAATGTGAGAAAAATTTTCTTCCACTGTGTTACTACATGAATAGAAAGTGAAATTAAAAACTTTGATTTATTCTATAAGACATATATTAAGTTTTTTAAAAAGCATACTTGCAAATGAAGGAGGTGGTGGGCCAGGGAAATCCCTTGGAGGAAAATAATCTCGGGGAGTTCCATACATGCTTCCTGGAGGAGGCGGAGGAAAAGGAGGACCTCTTCTCATGAACGGGCCCCTTGTGTCCACTGGAAACAATGGACCTCTGACTGGATGAATCGGTGGGGGGACAAAACCAGGGCCGGTTGCTTCACTTTCAGCAGGGAGAGATGATTCTGACACATTTAAATTCTATAATAAATTGACATACAACAGTCACTAAAACAACATAAAATTTCCAATAGTTTTCCAGAAAATCTTAGGCTTAAAGTAAAGCAATCACAAATATTTTAGAAACTCAATAGAAAATAGCTATAACCAACAAAATAAAATTCTGGCTGAAGATAAAATACAAAAATGGTCCCAAGAGCACCATCAAAATATACATTCTTTTATGAAGTACATACTGAAAAAATTTAAAGAGCTTATATTTATATTTTCAAAGAAACCCAAAGACTGTAAACACAAAAATAAATTATAAAACACTAAATAAAGGACCTCCCCGGTGGCACAGCAGTTGAGCACTGGGTTGCGAGGCTGCCCTCAGCCTCTGCAATGCCAGTTAGATCTCCAGCCACCGGACGAGGGTCCCACATGGCGCACAGACCACTCCTGCTGTGCCCACTGCTCCCCTCAGCAGTGTACTTTGTCAGTCTGCCTGCTCTGCTCTGCTCTGCTCTCCACTCTGGCTCTGGTGAATTCTCTCACCCTCCCATGCTTCTGACTGTACCCAATGCTTGTATATTTAAAAAAAAAAAAAAAAAAAACCTAAATAAAAATCCAAGGGAAATTCCAAATTCTTGTTTAATTAAAATAAACATATTCAAGTTTCTGGTCTGTAAATAGTACTTTATCGCCATGGTAAAATCCAAGGAAAGGGAAGAAACAGCTGTAATGCTAATTAAGAAATATTTGTTAAAATGAGAGGATAAGTTTGATATAAAAACCTAGTAAACCATTCCATTTCCATTCTAGTAAACCATTCTAGTAAACCAGCAGGCTCCTGAACATATAAGAAATTCCATTTCAATACTTACACTGAGATCTTCTCTGCTATCAATTCTATTGGATTCCATTTCCAATGGTCCATCTAGACATAAAAATTAAACCATGAGAAATACATGACTTATCACTTCATTCCTAGATATCTCCAGATCATAAAGGACACTGATTACCTCTTCACTTCCCTTGTTGGCACATAAACCAGCGTGACACCATCATTCTATGTATTAGGGCTACAAGAACAGTTTGCAATACCTGGAAATTTTGCAGATGCCAAGTTCTAGAAAGCCTGTGGCAGTGATTTCCTCAGTTTGTTCCCAGGCAATCCTGCTGCAGAAGCAGCATAAGGAGATTTCTGGGAGGTAGCATCCCTTTCTTCATTTTTCTCCTGCCCTACTTCCCCTTCCTTTTCTCCCTTCCTGTCTCTCCTTCTTTTCTTTCCTCCATCTCATCCTTCCTTATTTGTATATGAAGTGACAGATTAACATCCATTTAGCCGCTGTTTGTAAATAAATGCTTCTTGACTTTGTTAAAATCAAGAACTGCTCAGTCTCTGAGAACCTAAATTCAAACCCTTTCTCTGGCCACAACTACCTCTCCTCTCCTAGTTTTCTGAGTGACTCACTACCCCTGTTCTTCCATGTCACTAAAGATTCTAGTCCTCTCATCTAATCTCAGTCTCCTCCTTTACTTACTTCCTAATTAAGTGAACTTCAAATCCATTGACAATTTTTCACCTGTGCTTCACAACATCTAGTCCTATATTAACCCAACCCTCCATTTCTACCTTGTCTATACCTGAGTCACTTAGTACTTTTAGGGTAAAATAAATCATAGCGCTGTGCAGACTGGCACCACTCCAGGATGACAGATCCCCAGTCAAACTTGCAGTAGCTCACTACCAAGCCTACCTTCTGTATCTTCTAAGCCAGCTTTCTCCTCAGCAATTTCAAACCTCCATTCTCTTCAAACCTAATACCAGTCACTTAGAAACTCTCTTTAACTTTGTATAAATACATCAATGTATCAGCAACTAAATTCCTATGATCTTTCTTCCTATTTTCATGGAATCTATCAGCCTGATTCTATGCTCAGATTTCCTGACCCCTCCCCCAGCTTCCTTAGTGTCCTTCATCTTTCTGTTGCCTCCCTTATCCTTTCCTGCTAGAAACATCCTATCAACAAGTCTCTCCCAACTACTATTTAAGACTGAGGCAAGGGCCTCCCCGGTGGTGCAGCAGTTGAGCGCTGGGCTGTGAAGCTGCCCACAGCCTCTGCAGCGCCGGTTTGATCCCTGGCTGCCGGCGAGGGTCCCACATGGGGCAACAGACCTCTCCTGCTGCACCTGCTGCTCCCCTCAGCAGGGTACTTCATCAGTCTGCCTGTTCTGCTCCCCACTCTGGCTCTGGTGAATTCTCTCACCTTCCTACGCTTCTGACTGTACCCAGTGCTTGTACAGATAAATAAATAAATCTTTAAAATTAATAAATAAATAAAACTGAGGCAAAAACAAGACTCCCCTTTGCAGCTGCCCCTTCTCCTTCACAATCAAAAACTGTTAATGCATACTATCTGTAATTCCTCCTATTTTGTCCTCACGGGCAATTCCACTGCCCCACTAAGACCTTATTTTCACCAAGATCAAAAATAGTCTTTTTTAAACTAAAGCAGGCACTAACAGTCCTTTTGCTTCTCACCATTGTTGATCACTCCCTCCCTCTTTATTCTCAGTCTTCAATCTCTGTAGCAGACTCATCCATCTTCCCTCTGTCTCTTCTTTCTAGCTGATCCTTCTCAATATGATGGCTTCACTACCACTGACTACCTTTAAATGGTAGTATCTAGGAAGTTTCACCTTCAGTCCTATTCTCCCCTCCTTGAGGAGCTCTTACAGCTTTAATTTGATGTATATCAATGACTTCCAGATGTGTCATTCATATCTAGATATTTCCCCAAGGACTTGAACTGCCTACTTGAATATCCATGCAGGTATTATCACAGGTGCTTGTAATTTTTTAACTTCAAAATTTAAACTTAAAATCTTTCCTGTCAAACCCTCTGCTGTTCCTTTTTCCTTGTATCAGAACAAGCAATAGCCCAGGTGGCACAGGCAGGAAACTGGGCATCAGCCAAGACTCCTCCCTCATTCCCACATGCTTTCAATCCTATATACTCCCAAATTCTATTTTCTTGAAATCTAATCTTATCTATCCATTCTGCTAAATTATCACTATCACTCCTATCAGTCTCCTAAAAAATTACCTTCCCCTCCAATCTTGAATACTATCTTTAATCATAATGCAACCAGATTAATTTCTCTAAAATGCAGATTGTTTCTGCATCAAAACTATTTAATATATTGGTATTATCCTGAGAATAGGATCAAATTTTCTAGACAAGTTTGGAAACTCTTGGAAACTTTGTGCACTGCTACTTCTTCATTATTTGTTTCAGTATTTCCTGGCTGCACTCCATGCTACAGCCATAACCTACAAGGCACTCAACTTTAAATCTTTAAAAATGTCATTCTCTTCCTAGAACATTATCACTATCATTCTGATTCAGCTAATTTCCCCTTTAACTTTCAGCTTATATGTCACTTCCTCCAAGATTTTCTTGACTACCACATACTCAAAATACCAACAACTTATCTGGATTAGTGCCCCATATATTCCCATATTTTGTATTCACTCCTTTTGTCACTAAGTAGTATAATCACCTACAGGCTTTTACTAGATCTCAATATACAAGGAAACACAGCAACTATCATAATGCCTGTCATTATACATTCTATAGACATCTGTGGCTGGATCTACCACTCCTTCATTTCAATAAAGTATAGACATCAAGTGACAGTTTGGTAGTCAGACAGACATGGGTTCAAATCCTGCCTCATACATCTCCTCTTGAGATCTCATTTTTTTAGTTTTGGATTCTGCATCTTTAAAATGAGGATAGGGCCTTCCTGGTGGCGCAGGCAGTTGAGCACAGCACTGTGAAGCTGTTCGCAGCCTCTGCAGTGCGGGTTAGATCCCGGCTGGCTGGGGAGATACCCGCATGGTGCAGCAGACCTCTCCTATCTCGCCCACTGCTCCCCACACCAGTATATTTCAGTCAGTCTGCCTATTCTGTTCCCCGGTCTCTCTCTGGTGACTCCTCTCACCTTCCCACATGTCTGGCCTGTACCCCAGTTCTTGTATAAATAAATCAATCTTTAAAATAAAATGAAATAAAATAAATGAGGATAAAAGTATCTACTTCATAGGTTCATTGTGAAGTATGAATGACATAATTTAGTTTCATTCAATAAATGTACCTCTCACCATTTAACTTCATGTAAATATCATATACTGCCAAACCAGTACCTCCTTCATTGTGTTTTTTCTGATCCTTCAACTAGATGGAAGTTCTTTCTGTGAACACAGCATGTTCTCTAGCAGGACTTATTATTCTTACCAGTACTAATTAAACATATATTTGATTTGCCCTTCTACCGCATTTAATTAGCTTCTTAAAATCAGAAACTATATCCTATAATTATTTTATTTGCCATGGCATGCAGAGTACCTTCTAAACAAAAAGAAACTAAAAATTATTTGCTAAATTGAATATTGTTCAATTATGGGAAAAAATGGACATGCAAAAAATTTTAACAAGATTACTTTAAAAATCGATGTTCGATCACACATGAAGCTTGAATTAATGAGGGGAAATGATTTCAAAAGTCAATCAGAAAAAATTAATTTGTAGTTAATAATAGAAATCCAGATCAAAGGTCTGCTTCTTTGCTTATGACTCAAAAAAGATCGATTATCCTTTAAATATTCTAACCAGATAATAACCCCCTACGTACACCCTTTCCTGAGGAAATTTTTACCAATAAATTTAATTTTCTACTTATTCTTAATCTTTTTATTTTGTTAATGTTATATATGTCTGATTGACACATGGATATATGTATTTCCCAACTTCAATTAGTTGCTGTGATAAAGTCTGAGTTAAAGAGTACCTAACAAATAGTAGGTAGCTCAGTAAACATTAGTTAATCCTGTCTAAGTATGAAATGTTTAAACAAGGTAATTGAGTAATCAATTAAACAATCAACAAGGCATGTACTCAAATTATTTTGTTTGTAGATTTTCACATGTCCATTCATACCAGTGTATTTCCCTTGGTTACTCAACAGGATATATGTAAATGGAGTGAAAAAGTAGAAATACAGTCTAGGAACAGAATAAAATTAACCAGCGTAGGTACATATAGTGAACTCATTACCATGGTACCCAAACCAAGCCCAAAGTATATGTAGATGCTATGGATGTATACAATATAACAGGAAACATAAAACCAGGAAATTTTCAGGAAAGAGATTTTGGCCTTAAAAGTTATCAGAGAAAGCAATTATATTAGTTCTTGACTCAGATTTTAAATCTTTAATATAACACCATTATTAAGGGGAAAAAAATACATACACAAAATATTCCTTACCTACTTTATCCAGAGATGGCATATTAAAACTTCTGAGTTCTGCAGGTCCAGATAGTCTGCCAGAATTTGTATAAAATCTGTCTTGCCTTTGTGGAGGAAAAGCTGGATCAGGATATGGTTGGCCTAGAAACAAATTTTTAAAATATTTTCATTAGTATTAAAAAAAATCAAGTTTACGTAAATTTAAAATATTGAACAAAGATGTTTTTCTTGTTTCTACATTCCTGACAGACAATAATATACAGTGTTAGAAAATCAGTTATTTTCCTAAAGGTAGTAACTTTGCTTTTGAAATAAACACAGTGTAATATGCTACTTTGTATTTGAAAGTTTCCATTAGTATGCATTAATTAGAATACATAAAGGGAGTTTAAATATAGTAATCTAACTTTCAATTTTAGTAATAATGAAGTAGATACACCAATATATCAAAAAATACTACCATATCAAAAAAGCACAACACAGTATTGTTCTGCTTCCTAACAAAGAAGGAAAAAAGCAGTATGTTGTTAAGAGCCTAGCAAGAAATTTAGCAAAGCAAACAATGACAAAAGAAACGGTCACACTAAAGTAAGAGTATCATTCAGAGGTCATCAGAGATCAAATTTTCATTAACTTCAATATTTTGGGATTTAGCATCTCTCCAAAGCTAAAGGGAAAGATCGTTAACTCATCAGATGAATAAAAATCTCACAATGTTCAGCTTAAGGACATCTGAATAGATACATTTGGGCACAGGCTCCAACACAGGTGAATCTACAGTTACTCTTCTTTATTCCCAGGAATCACTTATGATGACAAAATGGCAATTCTGGGATCTTTGTACAACTCATCATTCTTTATATATATATATATATATATATATATATATATATATATATATAGGTAGTTATCTATTTTTGCTAAGTGATGACAGATTAAGCATCTGCCCAAGTCCAAAAATAAAAGATCAAAGGGGGTGAAGTGTAATTTTCCTATCCTCATATATATGATAAAAAGTCCTAAACTGGGGCCTCCCCGGTGGCGCAGCGGTTGAGCACTGGGTTGAGAAGCTGCCCGCAGCCTCGGCAGTGCCGGTTCCATCCCCGGCTGCTCCCCGGCCACCAGAGGAGGGTCCCACATGGCACGCAGACCTCTCCTGCTGCCCGCTGCTCCCCTCAGCAGTGTACTTCGGTCCTTCTGCCTGCTCTGCTCCCTGCTCTGGCTCTGGTGAATTCTCTCACCCTCCCGTGCTTCTGACTGTACCCAGGGCTTGTATAAATAAATAAATAAATCTTAAAAAAAAAAAAGTCCTAAACTGTCTTCCATGACTGTCCTTGGCAGTGATTCATAATGTGAACTCCATACAATGTTGGATATGTCACTCCTCATCTGATTCAGCCACATGGGACCTTAATGACACATACTTTTCGCATGCAAAGCCAAGGAAACTATCTGGCATCAACCAGAATCAACAGAAAGTATTATATTTAATAAGCTCCCAAGGGTCAAGGGATGTGACTTAAGAGAGAAAGATCCAGATAAGACTTGAAAGTTCAATTCTTCCCCACTTCAGAATCTAAGCAAAGAGCTGTCTCAAAGCGTCTGAATTAACCCAATGGAAGAAACGCAATACTAATTGCTGAGATTTAAACTGAGTTTTCCCTTTCTACTTTGAATATGAAAATAATGAAACAGCAGAACTGGGCAAGGACATAAAGTGGGGAAAACATGCAAACTTCCCAATTCTTTCTTAATCAGGTCTCAAGATACCACATTATTGTTTTGCTTCTAAAATATATTCCTAACAATATCAGCAACCTCAGAAAAAAAATTTTGCATCTATAAGAACCTATTGTTGGCTAAGCATTAGTGACACAAAGTTGGTTTTAGTTAGTCCTTTTTCAGCCTCACAGTCTAACAGTTACAGAAACAAGTAAATACAATGTAATATACACTGTGACCCTCATAAAGGAGCACACAAATAATATGTTGGGTGGTTTATCTAATTCTAAATGGAGTGAACAGGTGTCATAAAGGAGATAAAGCTTGTCCTGAAAGAAAAATAAGGAAGCTTAAACAAGTAAACAACAGTATTCTGCTCCAACTGTAAAAAACATATACAAAAGGCATATAATAACACTCACTTCATGTAAGATAAAGTTATGCGAAAGGCCTATCATAAATGAAAGACTGAAATTACAGAAAATAAGGACATTTCCAGTGGGATCACCTTATCACATCTTTCAACAGTTGTTCTAGGTACTACATAACTTAGAACAATTTTCTAGTGTTGGTAAACATTTTACCCATTTGAGGAAACTAGGAATAGGAAGTCTGCCAGTAAGAAGTTTTTTTTGTTTGTTTGTTTGTTTTTAAATTTTATTTTTTTAAGATTTATTTATTTGTTTGTTTGTTTGAAACTTGAAGTTCAAGTATATTAACTTTTGGGGTATAGTTCCAGAAGCATAGCCTCTTCGATACAGTTTCTCTTGATATGAGGAACTATAACCAAAACTGAAGTATCTGGGCACAAGGGTTAAGATACGACCTATGAAGCTATCTGCAGCCACTGCAGCATGGCGCAGCAGACCTCCTCTGCCTCGCCCACTACTCCCCTCAGCAGTTCAGTCAATCTGCCTGTTCTGTTCCCCACTCTGTCTCTCATGAATCCTTCTCACCCTCCCGCGCATCTGGCCTATACCCTGGTTCTTGTATTAATAAATAAATCTTTAAAAAAAAAAAAAAAGAACTACATTACAGATAATTTCAAGTAACTAAAGAATCTATATTCATCAAAATTTAGTTACCTTATTATATTTTTAACACAATATTTTAAACTATAATATTTTAGGGCCTCCCTGGTGGCCTAGAGGTTAAAGTCTCAGTGCTACACAACACTATGGCCTGAGTTCAATCGATCCCTAGCCAAGAAGCTAACCCACATATGTGCAGCAGACCACTCCTGTCTCCCCCACTGCTTCCCTTAGCAGTGTATTTCAGTAAATACGCCTGTTCTGCTCCCTACTCTGTCTCTGGTGAATCCTCTCATCCCCTGCACCTCTGGCCTACCTCCAGTTCTTCTACACAGAAAAATAAAACCTAAAATATTTTAAAATTTTAGAAAAATCTTAAATACATAATTACTAGGAAGCAAGATTTTTGAGTACCTAAGCAATTTCTGATAATAAGCCAAGTTTGAGGTAATATGGATGGATCTGGAGGGGTATACACTAAGCAAAATAAGAAAAAGAAGATAAATACTGGATGGTTTCACTTAAATGTGGCATATACAGAAACAAAACAAAAGGGTCAGATAAAATTTGTGAGTTTTCTATAGGAAGGTCCTCTACATACACAGATGTAAAATATGACTCCACCAGAACTTTGCAATGAAGTCCCTTGAGAAATGGTTTTAGTTTATTAATCTTCATTTTGTCACACCCAAACTTTTCAATGAATTTCAAAGTCAAGAAAGAATCTCTGAATGACTGCAGAATAGAGGCTACTATATGGGGAAGGAGGGTGGAAGCGAGAAAAAAAGTGAAGGGGTCCAAGAGTAAAGGACTATGGATGCTTTGATGTTGGCAATGGTATGGTAACATCTGAGGATCTGAGGTATGACCCTACTCCCCTAAATCACATACAGTTTTGTAGACCAGTTTTACCATAGTAATGAGAAAAAGAAGAATCTTTGAAAGACATTCTATGCCACCCCCTCCAAATTCTTAAGCTTGAAAGTTACAGAGTGCGTGTATATGTAAACAATAAGAAAAATACTCAGCTTTCTCAGAATTACGCAGGAATTCATTCACCAACAAATATTTACTGAGCAACTATGGTTGAGCATTATTCCAGGTGCTGGAGATATAGTGGTGAACAAGTGACACAATCTGTGTTTTTATGAAGTTGATATTTTCATGATATTAAACAAAGGAAAGCCAGAATATAAAGAGTCATCACTTCACAGAACATACACACACACAAGTATGGCAAGACTAATTCTTGGAAATTAAAGGGCTTTTGTTTTTCACTAAGATATTCTTCCCTCTCAAGGGAAATAGTATTTCTTTAAGTGCAATGAATTTATACAGAGCAGGCAGGGCCTACTTCACATAATAGTGTCTTTGAAAACAATGCATAAAGGAAAAGTTTAGCAAACTAATTTAAATATATTCTCTGGGGAAGTATTAGAACAGCAGATAATTGTCTTAATTCAATGAGAAAGACAATTACAGGAAGGTGGAATATAACTGCACAGAAGTGATGAAGGAATTTTTATAACTATGCTTATGAGTATACACACACAAAAATCCCTAAAATACAAAACTAAATTCTGAGAGGAGAATGTTAAGATGATGACATTTTGGGTGGTTTTGTTTTTTTTTAACTTTACTAATTATATATTTGCACATTGTTTGGACTTCCTAAACAAATGTATATTGCTTCTATAAGCAATAAAAACAACAAAGACATCCCATTTGGGGATGAAAACAGCTTTCTATAATGTGAATAAAACCCCTAAATACTGCGTTTGAAAATTTATGTTACTGCTGCTTTCTAGTATGTATTATGGCTTTTCTTAAGACAAGGCACTCTACTACTACTGTTCTCTTACATTCCCACATGTTGTCTTTCCTACTAGCGGTCTTTCAAGTACAAATAACTATACTCTTTCCATACCGGAAGGAGGGATCATCATCCTACGATCCTGTTCCCATGGAGGTGAGAGGGACCCAGTGTCAGACGGTGCTCTATGAGGATCAGTTAGCCTATCACAGCTTGATTCTCCTCTTTCATTGGGAATCTGATGGTCCAGAGGATTCCCAGGGCCTCTTGAGCCTAATTAAGAAAAGAAAAACTATTTTGTCTTATATAAAAAAGTATTCTGAGACCTATCATCAAATAAAATCCAGAGACTTTTTTAAAAAGTAAAAACAGACTCCAACAAAATTACCCAAAGATACATTAGATTATAACTCTCTACCAAAGTCATCTATAGAACAATGAGTAAAAATAATTTTGTCGTGTGCATAAACACTTACCTATAAAATGTTTTAAAATTTATCACATTATCATTTATACATATCAGTGGTTAAATTGTAAATTACAAACACTTGTCTGAAAAATGAGAGGAGAAAAGTAAATTGAAAAGTAGAAATTTCTATATCAGATTACAATAAGTATGAGTTTTTGTTGCCTAACCTAATACAAAAAAAGTCAAAATGAATATGATTTCTTTAAAATAATCACCTTGGGGACTACATACCTATTTCAATGATTCCGAATTACTGTTTTTTTTTAGAACAACTTATTTGGAAATGGAGTCAAATAAGAGTCACTGAGGAAATTATATCTCAATGTTGCAACATGACTCCGTATTTCTAGCCAAAAATTATTTTTTATTTTAATTTAATTTACTCATTTGCCAAAAAATTATTTAACCATGCTGATTACAAACTTTATACCCATTAGATAAATGTGGCTCTAAATTTAGCAATTTCTAGATATCACACATTTACCTTCAAGAGGCATTAATAGCTCTAAAAGTTAGTCTAAAGCAAGAGTTTCAAAAATAACCACAATTGTTATATAAACACTTTGAACAAGATAACATTCATTTAGCTCAGAAAATCAGGCAAGTTTACATTTGAAAAAGAGGAAAATCATCTTAAAGTTTCCTTTTTATGACCACAGAAAAGATAGTACCTCAATAAATAACCCATATTCAATTAAAGTTTAAAAGGCAAATATAAAAAATTTTTAAACCTTAAGTAACAAAATATATTGGGTTGTCAGAATTCATTACGCAGTTTTGCTTGAAAACCACAGAAAAATTACATCATGACCTTTCCAACAACCAAATATAATTAATACCTTCATTTATCTGTTGTGGAGGAACAAATGAGGTATTCTCAAAATTATACTGCCCAGAAGACAAAAGCTTATTCCTTTCAAGGAAACGTTTTTCAAAAAACTCATCTTTTAAATAAAAATCTTTCCAAAATACAACCCATGTTTCAATACCTCCTTTAAGAGAGGACACTAAAACTAACTGTAACTTTTCTTGGTAAATTGTGCAAATCAATAAAAGCATTTTTTTTAATATATAGTAATCTCTTAAAATGTTTTCAATCCACTGTCTCTCATGGCATCAAGAAGTCAACTGACTTCTATATAAGAAAGCCAACTATCTCTTTTCCTTACAGATTTACATTTTGTTAAATTCCCCAAATCTTTCCTTCCAATTTGTTCATCCTTCTAATCAGTTCATTAGAAGAAGACTGAGAAAGTAGAAAATCAAACTGGCAAGAAATGTTAATAAGGCTGAGTTCAGGCAGAATGAAGCTCAGAGCTTTAAAGGAGACATTCAAAGGTTTTCTCCTGATTACTTAATTCTAGAGGACCAAAGCTCCCTGCCAACTGACTGACTACGAGCTGGAAAATTTTAAGTTTGAAAAATGCTAAAAGTTAAAATTTTTCATTCTGACCAAAAATTATATATATTTTACTCTAAACAAATTATTTTTCCTATATCCATCTTATTCAGCCATATCTAATCCAAATTTAAAGGCAGTGGATATCCTTCTGTGGCTCATAGATATTTTCAGTCCAAAGCAACTATTTTAAGACCTGCTGATAACTTATCTAAAACTTCTATAGCTTTTCTAACAGCGTAAAACATCCTTGCAAATAACCTACACAAATCGTATCTCACAAGTAAAAAAGAGGAAGGAATTTAAATAGGAGAGGAGAAACCAAAGGTAATTTTACTCTTATTCCAAATAATCAATAAACTACAAGCAATCCTTGACTTATGTCATTCAACATCCAGTAATTCACATTTGTCAGGAAGCCAATTATACCCTTTTTTCTAGGGCACTGTTTTTCAAATTGCTAATTGCAAACCCATTGCAGTACATGAAATAAACTTATATGCATTTTTTTCAATGAAATAGATTAGAACAGAAAATATCAAAGCATTAAAAGCTGTAAGAATTCATGTAACTAGTTTCCATTATATTGATATTGGTGTGTAATGTGACATGATATGAAATGTATTTCTTATTGTCAATCAGAATAAACATTGGGAGGAAAATGGATTTAGAGCACTTACAGAACATATGTGAATGTTAAAATTAGGAATGCTCAGAGCAAAGCTCTCCTAGGTTGCTATGTCAGTGGACAATTCATTCTCTTTCTCTAGGATCTCCAATTCAAAGCCAATATAAATAAAGTTCCCTTCAGTGTCCCCAGGTTGTGTACCCAATCTACACTAACACTGGGAGGCAGGAAGGATCATTGCTGAGTGTAGCTAACTAAGAATGGGGAAAGAAGATCTAAATAGGAAACAGGCAAAGGGAGAATACCTTGTGAACATAAAGTAACACATTAATTTTCTCATATTCTTTGAAGATAAATTTTAAAAATGTCCAAAAATATTTAAAATGTCAGCTTCCACGGGGAAATACAGACTTTCTTTGTAACTGTTTTGATGAGTAGTATCCATTTGAATATATAAGCTTTGGTATGCTGGGTTCAGACTGCTGTTTTTATTAAGTCCTACCACTTTCTGTTTCTATCTAGATTATTCAATATGCTAAAATCACCATCAAAAAAAGAGGCCATGACACTGGTAAAACATTCTATCAGATCTTATGAAACATGGACTTGAGACTAAAAACCTAAGATTTTTGATTTTGGAATAAACAAAATTCTATAGCTTTGAATTCTGCCACAATTCAAGGGAAATTTTTAAGGTAACTTGCAAAGTCACTAAAGAATAGTGAGAGAGCACTAACACCAAGGATAAAGGCTATGAGGTGAATGCAGAAGACCAACAGCTAACATTTAAGTTTAAAACAAGCTAAGAAGTTATTTAAAAAAACACAGCAGAGGGTAACATAGCAGACAATCTTGAGTATGTTTTTCAAGGTACTAACAAATGATTTAGTTCTCCTTTAACGTTTCTATCAGAACTGTCTGCAAGAGAGAAATTCTGAGTTCCTCAACTCTAAAAAGAGATTCTTTCATTTTCTGATTTTCTATAATTGAAGAGAAAGTGATAATGAAGTAAAAAAAGATTTAAAAAATTCTCCTTTCTAATGTTACATCAAATACAATTTTATGCTAGGTTACATTATTATTGTATTTTATGTACTCTTTAAATAAAGTTTTATATTATAAAGTATGATGTATAATTTTTAAGAAGTCAAAAATGATTTAATTTCTAAGAGAAAAAAATATATTGAACTATATTAGATGCATAAAGCTCCTTTTCCAAACAAAAGTCACCCACAATAAGTACAAGGAATGCCTGTATTTTCTAAAGGGTTACTTTTAAGATCATTTTAAAGATAAGTTGAGATGAAAATATAAAGTAAGGAAGAAATATAGAGTAATAAAGATGTTTAAACAATATACCTCTTCCTCCTCCCCCTGGAAGCAAAGGTGAGAGTCTGAGTGGACCCTCCAACAAAGTTGGAGGGGAGAGAAAAGCTCTCGTTTCAGATGAAGGTCGACCCAATGGTGAGGGACCATATGGGGAATGCTCTGGAATAATTAAAACAGCATATTTAAATTCAATTAACTACACTTTAGATTAGAATCCCATTTCAACAATTACCATCAGGTCATCCTATTGCCATTTAAGTCTAATCCACGCTCTGAATAAATAATAAATATGCCTTGGAATAAATAAATATGCCTTGGATTTTGCTACTATAAAACAGAATTAAATATGGAACCTTGAGTTATGAAAATCTATAATCAAATGGTCACTTTAATCAACAAAAGCATTACCCTTAGTAATTAATACACTTAACCATATAATATTAAACAACAAACTGGTGATGTTTTGGAATTATAAGAGGATTTGGGAGCATTAAGTTAATTTTGTTTTGAATAGCAGGATTCTCCCAGATATTTCAGCTGGTGAATGTTATAACAATGAAGGGCTCAGTTTAAATCAGGGCCAGATAAGCTGTGCTGGGTCATGAACTATTTGAGTGAAGTTCAGTTTGAAAAGTAGGGGAAAAATACCCAGAAAATATTAGAAATTACTTCTACTCCTTACTAATGAAAATGTTTATATATACTAAGTCAGCAAATAAATCCCTTTATAAACCACACAACCAAGAGCCATATCATTTTACAAACCTTACCACTCCCAAATAATGATTATGCTCTTAAAAAGCAACTTTCTTTTTTTTTATTTTATATATTTTTTACATCATTTTTCATTTTTGTACAATGTATGCATTTTCATCTTGGTGAAATCAACATTCTTAAAAAATAAACTGAAATATCACCAAAATAATACTTTTTAAATATGATACATTTTATTGTGTCACTTACATAATATACAAATTTAGTTATAAGAGAAGATAACAACATTATTTATCCTCTTTGAGTCTAAACAAAAAATTTCTTTTGACTACAATTCCCCCCCCAACTTAGTTAAAACTGAAATGCATATAACAATTTGTTATTTTTTTAATGTAAGAAAACTTTCATTTTAATGAAACAGGAATCTCAAAAGTGATTTTTATAAATTTTAAATGATTATTAAAATGGAATTTTTACCTCTATAAAGATAGGTTTATTTTTTCTGGCTCAGATGCATGATTACAATTCAACCAAAATTATTTTGAAAACTTAAACTATTTTTAATAGCATGAGATCATTAAAGATGCTAACTCATTCATAAATTAAATGGACAGAAATATTAAATACACCTTCCAAAGTTTTGATCCTTTCTTAGGGATAATGAAAGCAAGCAAAACGCAGATTATGAAGTTTTTCCATTTTTTAAATTAATACTTTTAATTAGAAACCAAGTTTTAATTCTCTTTTATGTCAAGTAAATTCCAAAGAAATAGTTACTAACAGTCACAATGCTATTACTTTAAGCACTCCTATTCATTCTCCAATAAAATAATGAGTATTTAGTTATGTGCCAAGCACTTTACTTCTCAAGGAGTTCAAGGTACTATATAAGTATCCTATTACAAAATCCCACTGAGAAAAGGAGGCAGCAATTATTTATATTATTGCTAGGGAAAACAAACCTCAGTGACTTGGGAGATTAATTTAGAATCTCAGCTCAAAAACCTAAAGTATTTATAAAAGTGTTAATTTATACTAATATAAACTATATGTGCAATATATATGTGTGTGTGTGCGTGTGTGTGTGTGTATATATATATATGTCTATATACAGAGAGAGAGATTTTAAATGAGTGGTTAAAAAAAAAAGACTACCTCTGCCAAATGCTGTATTTGGAACATCAAGTGCATAGGGATCTTTTTCTAAAAGTTCAAATTTAAACTCTGTTTCAGTTAATCTGCAAATAAAGAACAAACATCTCTAAGTTATTTGTCCAAGAGAAGAGCCCACATTTCAAGAAAAATGTCACTATCAAGTACAAGCTACTGTTCACTATCTTAGTATTTGCATGGAAGAAACATCCTTTAAAATTATTCTGACCAAAATACCTTTCTATATCCCCCATTACTTGTTTGAAGTTAATGAGTTAATTTTTGCTTACTAATAGTGTTTTATTGAAGTTTGGGATTGTTTTGTTTTTCTCTTCAAACTAAACTAGACAAACACTAGATCACAGAATCCAAATTTTATAAATAAAAGGGTCAAGGTCAAGCAGTTCAAGTCTATCATTTTATAACTGAGGAAACTAAGGAAAGGAGTTAACGATTTATTCAAAACAAAAGCACTAGTATTAAAACATAGGTCTCCTGACACTAAGTCAATGTATGATTTCCATTTTAATATTATCCATATGATAACAATCACAACATAAAATTAGAATCCAATTAACTCACTCCTACTAGCATACTTCTTAAACTTTTTATCTTAAGAATAGGTGTAAAAGGGCCTCCCTGGTGGCGCAAAAGGTTAAGCACCGCACTATGAAGCAGACCCGCAGCTTCTGCAGCACGAGTTCAATCCCCAGCCGACCAGGGAGCAACCCACATGGCGCAGCAGACCTCTCCTGTCTCGCCCACTGCTCCCCTCAGCAGTGTGTGTATTTCAATCTGCCTGTTCTGCTCCCAGCTCTGTCTCTGGTGAATCCTCTCACCCCCCTCATCTCTGGCCTGTACCCCAGCTCTTGTATGCATAAATAAATAAATCTTTAAAAAAAAAAAAAAAAAAAAAGAATAGGTGTAAAAAATGTGACTTTTTTTAAATTGTATTTCTTGTATTTGACCATTAGACATGCAAAAAAAACAATCATTTGTTTTTAATTTCTGAGTAGAAAAAGCAAGCAAAAAGACTAAAACTAATATTGCAAAATGTTAACAGTACATTCTGACAAGAAATTAAAACACTGGGAAGACTGTTACAATCCTCATAGAAAAGCATTTACTCTTTTATTATTCTCCCTTTCATTCTATAAGCAATGCTACCCAGTGCAATAAAACCAGGGGATGAGAGAAATAATGAACAATTATCCTATCCACATTAGTAGATGCTGATACTTGACAACTACTATGTCAAAAATATTTATTCTTTCTCTTTCTGTTCTTCTTTCTCCCTCTACTACATTGGTTATTTTGTTTTTTTCATTTTAAAATACTTTTTTAATCTGAGAATTTAAGTTTCCTTCTCTGTCAGAGTGACTTTCTAAGATAAGTCTCTCAAACAAAAATATCTAGTAATACCTAGCAAAACTAATCACTATTTCACCACTACATTTAATTCTCTATACGTTTCCTTGTTTATCCTTATAAAAGTATTAACTAATTAATAAAATAACAAGAATAAAGTAATAAAATTTCTAAAGTGTTCCCACTGCAACACTTACTTTTGTCTGTTGTGAGCATTTTCTTTCCTTAACTCATTGAGATTTCTTTCAGCGGTCCGAGCTGCCAACTTAAACAAGAAAATACATTTTGAAAATACAATCATACCAACTTAAAATGAAAGATAAGCATACTAAATATCATGTGATGGTATGTAAATACCACAATCACTAAACAAGTATACATTTCAGTAAATTCAATGTAAATGAATTTTAATTTAGAGAATTATTTTAAAAGGAAATGAGTTTCCTTTTAGAAGACATAAGGTTAAAGCTGGAGTCTATATGCTTGCAATAAATGCTATTATCCAGAAATGAAGTCAGGGATTAGCACTATTTAGTGCTGTAAATATTCAAATAACAAGACAAAAGAAATCTAAGAGGATCCAAGCTGAGGGTAACCAGAATGGAGACTCAAAGTCAACAGGCATGGCAGCATTGGCTATGAAACAAAGGAAGCATCTCTGGAAATAAAAACACTGCAATGAATGAAAACAAAGGTTTAAAATTGTTTCAGAGCATACTAGTATAGCCCATTTCTTCAAATAACTGAAAATAATCAAAACATGCTGCATGTCTAGGAGGTATACAGAAGTATACATAGCATATTCCTATAGTTTTTTATTTATTCAGAGACATTTCATAAAAGGCTAGAAAATCAGAGTATATATGTTATACAAAACAAAGTTTATACTTAAAATAAATCCAAAGAACATGCAGTGTACCAAAAAGCTGAGGGAAAAAGTTAAATATATACAATATGGCATGTTTTCCAGTCATTCTTATGCAAACTCCTCCAGATTAGAAGCAGCACTAGTTGGAGAATCTCATACCTGCCTTCTAATGCAATCCGCTAGAGTAAATATATCAGTCATAAAAAGGCAGGTAAATTAACTCAGTCTATGACCATAATTTCCTATAAGTAAGAATAACTACAGAATCAACTGTGTTCATTTAAAATTGTGTACTACACATTAATTCTCTGAAATACGTAGGACTGGTATCTCTATCTCAGTCTTACAAATAAGAAAACTAACTGGTGGCAGGTGTTAGACACAGGTGTCTCTAGACCCCATGTATTCATGCACTGTACAAAAAATGCCTTCCCTTACTGACTCCTTGCACAAGTCCTCCAAAGACTGGCTATTACAACAGTTGTACATAATAGAGGGATTACTCTTACAATTAGTCAAAATCTGCATTGTCAGTTCTTCATACAGTTTTTCTAAGGCACTAATTCATCATTGCTCATGAAGGCCTTTTTTCTTAATAAGTATAAAGTAATTAAACATAGAGAATCAAACACCAGAACTGTATGAATTTTAGAACTATAAGGGGCTTTAGGTATCATTTAACCCAACCCACTATTTTATAGATGAGTAAACAGGCCTAGAGAATATTTAGTAATTTGTCCATAATTAGCACAATCCAGTTTCCTGAAACAATGAGTCCAAGAACATTATATTACTTCTCCCAGAAATAGTATTAAGCGCTTTTCAAAGAAACAATGCGCTGAAAGCACAAAAAAACCTAATTTTGTAAATATCTGTTATAACAAAGTATCTAGTTCATAAGGAGCATAATTTCATACTAGTAAAATTAAAAGAAACTTTATTTAAAATACTAATTTTTGTTCAATATAAAAGTATACCTTTTACATTGCTCATTTATATTAGAAAAAGAACAATTTTATGAGTCTAAGAGAATTTAACACTCACCCAATTATCATGTGCTTTTTTCTCATGGGAAATAATCTGAAAAAGAAAGCCATTAAAATACTATTGGCAACTACTTTTCTTAAGTAAAAAATATTCACAGCGACCATTATCATTTAGTTCACAATTCAGAAGCTCAAAATTGACTCAAATATAAATAAAACCGAGGGCAGATCAATATGGCTGTGAGGAAACGCTAAGAGTAAGATCTCCCATTAAAAAAAAGTTAATAGGGAGGAAAAGCGGCAGGTCCCAGCGAGAACTGGGACACGGAAGATAAAGGGGCAACTCCAGCAAACCACCCGAAGAAGAAAGTTGCCATAAAAAAAGGACTAGAAGGGAGGAAAGCTCAGAACTCTGCTACCCTCCTCCACCCACAAAAGTCGGCACTCTCCGACCAACAGAAAGAAGGAAAAAACAAAAAAAACTAAAATAACCAACAAGAACAAACTACGCATCAAGCGGGACTGTGAGTGGAAAGGAACTATTTCAGCCACCACACCCCGTGAACTGGAGCTGAGGAGAACCCTGCAGGATTCGCTGTGGAGGTGAGCGAATGACTCCAGGCGCCATTAGAGAAAAACAAAGACTCCCAGAGACCTACACACAGCCCCGGGCCAACTGGGAAGCTTGTGCAGAAAAGCGGCGAAAGGATACGCGGATCGCGGCTGCCCAGGTCCCCGCACCTGCAACCTAGGCTTGCGGGGAGACTCGAGGGGGGGCGGGAGACGAGCAGGGGCCCTCACTGAGGTGAATGTCCCTCACTGAGTAATCACAAACCAGGCACCTGGACACGGGAGTGGGGTGCAAAATGCGCCATTTCTGTGGACACTGAACTGGGCTACAGCCCACGTCCTGGACCTGAGGGCTTTGGAACTGAGACTCGGGGCACGAAATTCGGGGCGTGGGATCCCCATGATGGTGGGGCACAAGGCAGACACAGCACCCCAAAGCCGTTGAGGCTTTCCCCACCACTCCCACTCTGTTCCCCTGTTCCACGGGGTAAAAAAACCAGCTCCCCAAGGACCCTAGGAGAGATCTCTGGCGCCACCTAGCGACCAGAAAAGAAATCACCAACACCCCATAGAATAGGGACCTTTCTTCAGTAAAGACTGCTTGAAACCAGCAGAAGGCTCCCAGAGCAGTCAGAGGTGAGCTGGTAAGTTTGCCCAAGCCGGGCCCCTTCTGACCAGCAGTCCGAGCCCAGAGGGGGAACAGGCACCCAAGGCCCGGGCAGATCCAACATGTGGGAGTGTGCACCTGTCTCCGAATCGCCATTTTAGAATACAGACCTTTCTTCAATAAAGACAGCTTGAAATCGGCAGAAGGCTCCCAGAGGAGCCAGAAGTGAGCTGGGAAGTTTGCCCACGCCAGGCCCCCTCAGGCCAGCAGTCCAAACCCAGAGAGAAGGCACCCACGGCCGGGCAGACCGGGCATGCGGAAGAGTGTGCCTGTCTCCAAAGCGCCATTTTAGAAAAGGGACCTTTTTTCAATAAGGACTGCTTGAATCTGGCAGAAGGCTCCCCATGGAGCCAGAGGGAGAAGATTCCCTGCACAGTCAGAGGTGAGCTGAAGGCCCCCATAAGCCCGGTCCCAACTGGCAGGAAGTCGGAGCCCAGAGGAGGACCCAGAGATTTGGAACCCAGAGTGCAATCCACCTGCCCCACCTCCAGGGAAGTCTGTGGGACTTCAAGACGCACATTGGTAACTAAACACAGAAGGAGGAGAGATTCTGTGACAGTGACCATTAACATACTCAAAGTACCACTGCATCACTAGACTTCTGGCATAACAGTTTTTGACTCGTTTGGATTGCCAGTTTCTGAAACTTCCGAAAGAACACACCAAAAAGATGCCAGCCAGTATCAGCGGCACAGTATCCCAACGCATAAGGCAAATTAGAAGACAGGTTGCAGGGAAAAGAAAAACTACAAGCAAAGTAGAAACGCCTCAGAAAAAAGACACCACAAAAAAAAAAAACCCACCCAGGGGCTCCCCAGTGGTGCAGGAGTTTAGCGCTGGGTTGTGAAGCTGCCCACAGCCTCTGCGGTGCCAGTTCGATACCCGGCTAACTCCCCGGCCACCGGAGGAGGGTCCCGCATGGCGTGCAGACCTCTCCTGCTGCCCGCTGCTCCCCTCAGCAGTGTACTTCGGTCCTTCTGCCTGCTCTGCTCTCCGCTCTGGCTCTGGTGAATTCTCTCACCCTCCCGTGCTTCTGACTGTATCCAGTGCTTGTATAAATAAATAAATAAAATCTTTTTTTAAAAAAATAAATAAAATAAAATGGTTAAAATAAAAGAAAAAAAAAAAACAAAAACACCCACCACCTTGCAACTACGGTGACTTGGAAGAACTTCTGAGCCTTCCAGAAAAAGAATTTAAAATTGCTGTGATGAAAAAACTGATGGAAGTCATTAAGGAAAATAACGCTCAGAAGAATGAAATTGAGTTCCTAAAGAGGGAAGTAAAGGAAATGCAGGAGATCAAAGAATTAATGGAGGAACTAAAGAACTCTGGGAAAAGCAATGAAAGCAGAATAGATGAAATGGAAGAACGAATAAGTACTCTTGAAGACACAGAAATAAAAAGAACCAAAACAGAAAAGGAAAAAGAAGTACGAAGGAAAAAGACCGAAGAAAGACTTCGGGAACTATCTGACTCCATGAGGAAAGGAAATGTGAGAGTTATAAGAATCCCAGAAGGAGAGGAGAGAGATGTAGGAACACAGAAAATATTCAAGGAAATAATTGAAGAGAACTTCCCAAACGTGAAAGAGCTGAAAATTGATATACAAGAAGCAAGAAGAACACCAAACTTCCAAGACGAAAGGAAAAATACAGCAAGACACATAATAGTAAAGCTCCCAAGAATCCAGGACAAGGAAAAAATAATGACACTGACAAGAGGGAAGAAACAGATAACATTCAAAGGAAAACCAATCAGACTGACATCAGACTTCTCCGAAGAAACACTACGGGCAAGGAGAAAGTGTAGGGAAATAGTCAACAGACTCCAAGTAAACAGATGCCAACCAAGAATACTCTATCCCGCAAAGCTCTCCTTCCTCTATGAAGAAAGAATAAGGACCTTCCCAGACAAACAGAAACTCTGGAATCTCATTACAACTAAACCCCCACTCCAAAAAATACTACAAGGAGTCCTAAAGCCAGAACCTCAGAGGGACGAATAACAATGAAAGAAGGCCAAAAAAAAAAAAAGTTATTCAAAGAATAAATAAATAAATCAAAGGAAAGACAAACACAATGGCAAATACAGATGCTAACATATCAATATTAACTCTAAATGTAAATGGACTAAACTCTTCAATAAAAAGACACAGAGTCGCAGGCTGGATTAAGAAATAAAACCCAACCTTTTGCTGTCTCCAGGAAACACATTTAGGTACAAAAGATAAAAATAGGCTCAAAGTTAAAGGATGGAAAACAATCCTACAAGCAAATGGACCAAAAAAGAAAGCAGGAACAGCTATACTTATATCAGATAAAACAGATTTCAAACTCAAATAGGTAAAAAGAGACCCCAATGGTCACTACATTATGATGAAGGGGACAATACTTCAAGAAGAAATAACACTCATTAACATATATTCACCAAATGAAGGAGCACCAAAATATATCAGACAACTATTATCATCTTTGAAAACAGACATCAAAGAAAACACATACGTAGTGGGAGACTTCAACACAACACTATCAACAATGGATAGATCGAGACAAAAAATAAGTAAAGACACTAAAGTTCTAAATAAGGATTTAGAATGCTTGGGCTTAACAGACATCTATAGAACACTAAACCCAAAAATATCTAAGTACACATTTTTCTCAAGCACACACGGATCATTCTCCAGGATCGATCACATACTGGGACCCAAGACAAACATCAACAGATACACCAAGATTGAAATCATACCAACCATCTTTTCTGACCATGAAGGCATCAAACTAGAAATAAACCATAAAAAGAAGGCAAGGAAATCTCCTACCTCATGGAGATTGAAAACCACACTACTGGAAGACCACTGGACTAATGAGGAGATCAAAGAAGAAATTTAAAAATTCTATGAATTGAATGACAAGAAGGACACCAATTTCCTAAATGTATGGGATGCAGCAAAAGCAGTAATAAGAGGAAACTATATAGCAATAGAGGCTCACATCAAGAAACAAGAAAGAGGGCCTTCACTGGTGGCACAGCAGTTGAGCGCTGGGCTGCAAAGCTGCACACAGCCTCAGCAGCACCAGTTCAATCCCCAGCCGCCAGGCGAGGGTCCCACGTGGCGCGCAGACCTCTCCTGCCGCCTGCTGCTCCCCTCAGCAGTGTACTTCATCACTCTGCCTCTTCTGCTCTCCACTCTGGCTCTGGTGAATTCTCTCACCCTCCCACGCTTCTGACTGTACCCAGTGCTTGTATGAATAAATAAATAAATCTTTAAAAATAAATAAATAAATAAATAAATAATTCTTTAAAAAAAAAGAGAGAGAAACAAGAAAGAACTCAAAGAAGCAACCTAATCTCGAAGCTCAAAGATCTAGAAAAAGAACAACAAAAAAACCCCAAAACCAGTAGAAGAAAAGAAATAATAAAAACCAAAGCAGAAATAAATGAAATTGAAACTAAAAAAACAATCCAAAAGATCAATGAAACCAAGAGCTGGTTCTTCAAAAAAAAAAAATCAATAAAATAGACAAACCCCTAGCCAGGCTCACAAAGGAAAAAAGGGAGAAAGCACAAATAAACAGAATCATAAATGAAAAAGAAGAAATCACAATGGACACAGCAGAAATCAAAAGAATAATCAGAAACTACAATGAACAGTTTATGGAAACAAGTTCAACAAACTAGAGGAGATGGACAAATACCTACAACTATACAATCACCCAAAGCTAGATAAAGAAGAAATAGAACACCTAAATTACAGACCAATTACAGCAGCGAAATTGAAATGGTAATCAAATACCTTCCCAAAAACAAAAGCCCAGGATCTGATGAATTTACAAATGAATTCTACCAAACATTCAGAAACGAATTAGTGCCTATCCTTCACAAACTCTTCCAAAAAATTGAGAAGGAAGGGATAATACCAAACACGTTCTATGAAGCCAACATTACACTAATACCAAAACCGAACAAGGACAACGCAAAAAAAGAGAACTACAGGCCAATCTCCCTAATGAACACTGATGAAAAAATCCTCAATAAAATTTTAGCTATCAGAATCCAACAATGTATCCATAAGATAATTCATCACAACCAAGTAGGATTCATTCCAGGGACACAAGGATGGTTCAACATCCGAAAATCAATCAACATTATCCAACACATCAACAAAAAGAAATATTAAAACCATATGATAATATCAATAGATGCCGAGAAAGTTTTCGACAAAGTGCAACACCCATTCATGATAAAAGCCCTTGAAATTCTTGGGATATAAGGAACATACCTCAACATCATAAAGGCCATATATGACAAGCCAACAGCCAGAATCATTCTCAATGGCGAAAAGCTGAAAGCATTCCCATTAAGTTCTGGGACAAGACAAGGATGTCCACTCTCACCACTGCTTTTCAATATAATACTGGAAGTCCTAGCCAGAGCAATAAGACAAGAGAAAGACATCCAAGGAATCCAAATAGGAAAAGAAGAAGTCAAACTATCACTATTTGCAGATGATATGATAATATACATAGAGAACCCCAATAACTCCACAGAAAAACTATTTCAACTCATCAATCAGTTCAGTAAAGTGGCAGGATACAAAATCAACACGCAAAAATCAGTAGCTTTCCTATACACCAACAATAAATCTGAAGAAATAAAAAAAAAAATCCCTTTTATTATTGAAACAAAAAAAATCAAATACTTGGGAATAAATCTAACATAAGAGGTAAAGGACCTATACAAAGAAAACTATAAAACACTGTTAAAAAGAATAGAAGAAGACACAAAGGAAATGGAAAGACATCCCCTGCTCATGGATTGGAAGAATAAAAATTATTAAAATGGCCATCCTACCAAAAGCAATATACAGATTCAATGTTATTCCAATCAAAATTTCAATGTCATTCTTCAAAGAAATAGAACAATTATTGATGAAATTCATATGGAATCACCAAAAACCCCAAATAGCCAAAGCTCTCCTAAAAAAAAAAGAAGGGAATGGAGGCATCACACTCCCAGACTTCAAACTATACTATAAAGCCATAATCATCAAAACTGCATGGTATTGGAACAAAACAGACACAAAAAGTCCTGGGCTTTTGTTTTTGGGAAGGTTTCAATTATTTTGATATTTTGTTGTATCAAAAGTAAGGGAATACTTAAAAAGGAATTGAATAGAAAATCCAGAAATAAACCCACAGATTTATGGTCAACTAATCTTTGACAAAGGAGCAAAGAAATGCATTGGAGCAAAGAAAGTTTGTTCAATAAATGGTGCTGGGAAAACTGGGTCGCTACATGCGAAAGAATGAAGCTTGACCACTACCTCACACTGTGCACAAAAACCAACTCAAAATGGATTAAAGAATTAGACATAAGACCTGAAACCATAAAATACATAGAAGGAAATATAGGCGAAACACTCCATGATATGCACATCAAAGACATCTTTACAGACACATCACCCAAAGCAGTGATAGTGAAGACAAAAGATAAACAGCTGGGACTAAATCCAATTAAAGAGCTTCTGCACAGCAAAAGAGACAATAACAAAAACAAAGAGAAACCCCACCAACTGGGAGAACATTTTTGCACACAACACTAATGATAAAGGACTGATCACAAAAATCTACAAAGAGCTGATGAGACTCAACAAAAACAAAGAAAATAATCCAGTCCAAAAATGGGCAGAAGAGATAAAAAGAAACTTCTCTGAAGAGGAAATGCAAATTGCCAACAGGCATATGAAAAAATGTTCAGCATCACTTGTAACCAGGGAAATGCAAATCAAAACTACAATGAGATACCATCTTACACCAGTGAGAATGGCACATATTAAAAAAACTAGCAACAACTATTATTGGCGAGGTTGTGGAGAAAAAGGAACTCTCCTGCACTGTTGGTGGGAGTGCAAACTGATCCAACCACTATGGAGAGCTGTGTGCAGATTTCTTGACCTCCTAAACATAGAGCTTCCATATGATCCAGCAATTCCACTCCTAGGTATTTACCCAAAGGGCACAGAAACATCAATTCCAAAGAGCACCTGCACCCCCATGTTTATAGCAGCACTATTTACAATAGCTAAGCTTTGGAAACAACCCAAATGCCCAAAAATAGATGACTGGATCAAGAAGATGTGGTACATATACACCATGGAATATTACTCAGCATTCAAAAAAGATAAACACATGCAATTTGCAGCAACATGGATGGCGCTGGAAGGGATCATGCTCAGCAAAATAAGCCAGAAAGAAAAAGAAAAATACCGGATGGTCTCACTCATAGCAGGAATCTAGAAAACTTAAATAAGGGACCAGGAAAAAGAATAACTATAAGAAAGAAAATATCAAAATCAACAAACAACTTTGAACCAGAGACACTCTATGGGGGGTGGGGGGTGGGGAAAGGAGGGCTTGGGGTCAAAATAAGGGGGTTGTAATTGTATGGGGAATATAAAAATAAAATTTAAATTAAAAAAACATATAAATAAAACCAAAATTTTTGCCTAGTAAATTTCTATTTCATGCAATAATAAAATACAACAAGAGTTCTCAATTAAGATAACTAACTAAATATGAGACCTGATGCTGATATATGTTTATCTATGCTACAATCCACGTTCCAAGGCAGCATGGAAACATTAAACACGGCATTTTATTTGAGAACCTTGGGCTCTACAGAAACAATTCACAGCCACATACAAAATCTCAAGAGAAGTATACCACCTGTCTAGTGACTATAATCCTGCATCAAAATAGAAATACCAATTCAGAGAAATCAGAATGCTTTTTTAGTTACCTGCCCTTGATAAGAATGTACGGTTCTTTCCAATTCTTCTTCAAGATCTTTGGCACGCTTTCTATAAGGAACAAATAATCATCCTATTATTAATGTACACTAAGAAATGATGAAACACACAATCTCTACTGAAAATATTAAAATATTAAAACATAGCATGCTGTGCTAGGTTTACATGGAAAAAAAATAATAACTCCAGAACTCCACAAGTTAATCACCTTTAAGAAATTATTAAGTGTATTTTTTGCTCATTATAAATTTTAACATTAAACTTTACAAGTTTAATTAATTAGTCAAAATCTGCATTGTCAGTTCTTCATACAGTTTTTCTAAGGCACTAATTTACCATTGCTCATGAAGGCCTTTTTTTCTTAATAAGTATAAAGTAATTTAACATGGAGAATCAAACACCAGAACTGTATGAATTTTAGAACTACCACTAGCATGGGTTTGCCTAAACCAAAGGTCAGTGGAAAGACTGATATGGAACATTTTTTCATTTTTATTTTTTTTTTTATTTTTTTAAATTTTTTACATCATTGTTCATTTTTAAACAAAATTTGCTTCCCCCACCCCCTCAGGCATAGTCCCCATAGTTTCCTTCACCAATGCACCCGTGCACTACTACCTCAGTCCACTGTTCTCCCCCCTCCCTCCCTCTGTCTTCATTTTTATTTTTAAGCAGCTATCTTGGAAGACTTATTACTCAGATATCTCCAATCTTAATATAATTCTTAAGAATTAACAATCTGTGTGAAATAAAATGTTAATACATTTATAAATAAAGTCTAACAAGACAGTTCCTTCTTTTGCATAAAACTTGTTTATCTCTTCCTAATATAAAATGAAATATCCCAAAAAAAAAAATATTAAGTAGCTCAATTATTTGGGATACGGGTGAATCTTGCCCCTCCTTTTCTACAGGTTTTCTATTATTTTCACGGTAAAAACTAGACAGTCTTAGAAACACTTCTTTAGAACTATAACTGTGGCTCACTTTGTTTTGTGGCACACTTTTTCATTTACTGATACTCTACACATTTTTTCCCAATTGAACCAAAGGGATAAAGACCTTGAAATTAATGGGTAGTCAAAAATTACCTGACATTAACAATGTGAAAAATTTTAAATAACAAGAGAGATAACATATTTTTCCGCTTGCATCTTTCTGTGTAACAGTAGTAAGATATCTAAATGAAATACAATGAAACAAAAATATGCTGCTTTATTTTGGGGAAGTGGTTATTTTTTCTGGTATTGGGTTTTTTGATACCCTCCCCACCTCAGTACCTATAGGTTTCCAGTTCTTCAGCTGCATAGGTGATCTTTTCATCTGCTTTGGAAAGTTTCTCCTCTTTCTCTAATCGGTAATTTTCCTCTACTGTAAGTTTCCTTAAAACAAAAAGTTTTATTTCTTTCACTTTATGTCATAAAATAATCAATTATATATCACAACTGGTACTTCCCATAGGCAACCAGAATACCGTAAAACATCACATGCACAGAAAAAGTACCTGTGTAAATATACATGGTGTGGAACTTAATGTTACAGCTCATTATAAGACATCTTGTCTAGTACAGTACTACTAATAAAGAGGTTTCATGAGTTTTCAATGAAACTACATCAAACTAAAAAGCTTCTGCATAGCAAAAGAAATGCATCAAAATGAAAAGACATCCTACTGAAGTTATCCGTACATTATGTCTGACAAGCAGTTAATATCAAAGAAATCATAAAACTCAACTATAAAAAACAACCTAGCTAAAAAAATGGGCAGAGGATCTAAATAAATACATCTCCAAAGACATATAGATGGGCACTAAGCACATGGAAGGATGTTCATTATCTCATTATTAGAAAAGGGCAAATCAAAACAATAATGGTATCACCTCATACCTGTGAGAATGGCTATTATCCAAAAGACAATTAACAACAATTGTTGGAGAGGATGCGGAAAGAAGGGAACCCTTATACGCTATTGGTAGGAATGTAAATTAGTGAGACCATTATGGAAAGTAGGGTGGAAATTCCTCAAAAAATTGAAAATAGAAATTCCATTACAGTTATCCCTCTTCTGATTATTTACCCCCCAAAAAATTCAAAAATGCTAACTCAAAGAGATACATGTACCACCATGTTTATTGCAGCACCATATTATAGTCAAGAACTAGAAATTACCTAAGTGCTCATCAACTGACAAATGGGTGAAGATTATATAGTATATATACACAATGGGACACTAGTCAGTTATAAAACAGATGAAATTCTGCAACAACATGGATGTATGTAAAGGTAATTATGCTTAGTGAAACAAGTCAGAAAGAAAAAGACACTGTGATTTCACTCATACATGTTATATAGAGAAAACAAATAGATAAATTAAATAAAACAAAAATGAACTTTGAACTATAAGACCAGTATGTGGTTACCAAAAGGGAAGGGGGAAAGGAGGTTGGTAAATTAGAGAAAAGGAGATAAAGGAATGCTGAAGGTTAAATCTGACCTTAATATAGTATGTACACATGTTGATTCTTAATAAAGAATACCTAAAAGTCATACATAAATATTATAATGCACTGTTACTTCAATTTAAAAAAAACTAAGAATTTATCATAAAATATCAAAGATAAAGATTAAAAGCTATAATGACTATATGTTACTCACCAAGCAACCTTATAAAAAGTTTACATTTATTAGATAATAAGTCACCAACCAATGAAACTTTTCAATAATTTGTAAATCAATTTTTCAATTATTAAAAAGTGATTAGGCTTCCAAGCCAGTCACAAAAATATAACAATAATAATGAACCCAAAGTAAACTAGAACTCCATCAAGTTCTTTTACTAACCTACCACGTCATAGCATGTGCCAGAAACCGTCCTTGGTTAAATTTTTATATCTATTAATTACCACAACAACTCTACACAAAGAATATTATTTACAAAAAGGAAAACAATGCACAGATAAACTAAAAATTGGACCATAGAGTTATCAAGGAATGACGCCACTATACTATATTAGCCAAGTTGTTTCAAATGCTATTGTTAATAACACTGGTCCCTGAAGAAATACCAATTGAATACTATGACAAAATATACATCTTACTTTATATTTAAAGCAAAAAATCAAGCTTCTATGCTATACTATTTAGGCTTCTCTAAAATTAAATTTGGGGGCCTCTATGGTGGCTCAAGGGGTTAAAATGCAACCTATGAAGCTATCTGAGCCACCACAGCACAAGTTCAATCTCCAGCCAGGGAGCTACCCACATGGGGCAGCAGACCTCTCCTGACTCGCCCACTGCTCGCCTCAGCAGTGTATTTCAGTCAATCTGCCTGTTCTGTTCCCCACTCTGTCTCTGGTGAATCCTCTCACCCCCCACACTTCTGGCCTGTACCCCAGCTCGTGTATGCATAAATAAATCTTTTAAAAAATAATAAATTAAATTTGGAAAAGTGTAGTATAATATCAGGCATATAAAATATCAAATCAACATCTAGAAAATAACTCAAACTATCTGTATGCAGGCAAGAATTCTGATTTAACATCTTACTAATACTAGCAATCCTCTATATTTCACTCTGGAGAACAAGCACTGGCATAATTCACTGAATTTGAATAGCAAATGCTTTCATTTAAATCTAAGAATGGGACATATAATAGTTGAGGAATTTAAAACATTTCGAATTGATGAATAAAATCACAATGTGAACAACACAAACACAGCTAAAATTACACTCAGCTTTCCATCCTTGCTATGAATAGTCAGAGAGGACAACTTTTTTAGGGGGGACTTTTAAATATTATTAATGAAAATTCTATAATCAATAATTTATTTTTATTCTTTTACTCAGAAGATATACCTTTCAAAAGAATACCTTTTGGGGTCTCACTAGTGGCGCAAGGGGTTAAAGTCTCAGCGCTATCAAGCCAGCCACTGTGACATGAGTTCAATCCCCAGCCAGGGAGCTAACCCACATGGCGCAGCAGACCTCTCCTGTCTCGCCCACTGCTACCCTCAGCAGTGTACTTCAGTGCACTGTGTTCTGCTCCCCACTCTTTCTCTGGTGAATCCTCTCACCACCCCCTCACCCCCTGCACCTCTGGCCTGCACCCCAGTTCTTGTATGCATAAATAAAAATCTTTTTTAAAAAAAGTATACCTTTAATCGCAAATAATTCCTTTTATGTCCAAATATTACTCATATCTTTAATTCTAATCTAAAAAGAAGGTTTATTTCAAGGTTTACTGCCAGTGGCTCTCTGTAGCTTTTCCACTAAGTCAAGTTTATTTCTCTTTCATACCCTGAGCTATCCCAAGAGACCCGAAAGTTGATGACAAATAGCAAAGTTTTAAATTTTGCATTGAATCCAAATTATGATTGAAATATAAAGCTTTGCAGTAAATGACTTACTCAATCACCTAGCATCCTGATGTATGAACAAAGTGTTAATATTTTCTACCACTTTCAAATACATACAACAGAATTTCATTATGCCTGCTAAATTATGTTCTATTGTCACTACAAAAACTAAATTAGAAAATACTTAAACACTGCTCCCAAGGGAACATGAATTTTGGTCACAGCATTTTCGTCAACCAAGCAATACATAACCTAATTTCATGTGCTTCTGTTTTGAATATGCTTTAATGTGTATTACTCATTTTTTAATAATGAACTCACAATTAACATTTTAATGCATGTCTGAACAAAACAGCAAATATATTTTCTCTGTAAGACACAATCTTCTTATACTTAGAAACACTAGACTGTACTTCAGTACCACATGGGGGCCATTATAAACAGCTAAATCACTAGGAAAAAAGCATACAAATGGGGCCTCCCTGGTGGCACAGGGGTCTAAGTCTCAGCGCTATCACCAACCACTACAATGAGTTTGATCCCAGCCAGGGAGCTAACCTACATGGCACAGTAGACCTCTCCTGTCTCACCCGCTGCTCCCCTCAGCATGGTATTTCAGTAGATCTACCTGTTCTGCTCCCTACTCTGTCTCTGGTGAATCCTTTTACCACCTCTCCTCTGGCCTACACCCCAGTCCTTGTATGCATAAATAAATAAAAATAAATCTTTAGCAGCACTCCCTCTGCCCATCTGTGACTATGCAGGTGCCCTCTTTTCACCAACTCTCTCCCTCTGCAGGGCAGCTGCCTTCCTCCATGCCCATGACCTGTCAAGGCTGCCTGCCAACAAACATGCAGGCCTCTCTTAGCAAACCTGTCCCTTCTGGGGCAGCTCTTCCTGTCTGCTTGTGTCCATGCAATTGTCTTTTACTGTTTTATGCCTTCCCTAATAAACCTGCCCTTTAAATATAAAAATAAATAAATGAATCTTTAAAACTAAAAAACGCATAAAAATGTGGCACTTAATATACTACAGAAAGGATATTTGTTTACAAAGTGAAAGTGTTCAAACAAGACAGTGTCGCCTTGCTGCACCTCAACTGAGAATATATGCCACAACTTGGGCAATTCAAAATTTTTGTGTGCAGATCTTCAAGTGACCACTAAAGTTCCTTGAGTGTTAATTGTGGGGTTACAAATGAATTTTCACAAGTATGCAAATTCAAAATACAGAATCTCCAAGTAACAAGGACTAACTACAATAACTTTCATTAAGTTTTTAAAGGGACTTGAAAGTCTGTACATTGTCCCTTTTATGATAAATGAAAATATGTGCAATGGTATTTGGGAATCTCAAGTCTCCAAATAGGTATCTTGAAAGTATCTTCTGTGTACCTAGTCATTTAGGCATCAGTATACACATAATCTTTCACTCTGATATATAAAGGTACTAAGCATATTTATTCATATATCCAACAGATATTTACTTAATAGCTACCATGTAAGGATGCAGAAAAAAATAAACTCAGTTTCTCATGGAGTTTACATTTAATATTGGGAAGATTTTTTTAAATGACAATCATCTACAGAAAATAAGGGAGGGCCTCCCCTGGTGGCGCAGCGGTTGAGCACTGGGCTGCGAAGCTGCCCGCAGCCTCTGCAGCGCCGGTTCGATCCCCGGCCACCGATGAGGGTCCCACATGGCACGCAGACCTCTCCTGCCACGCCTGCTGCTCCTCTCAGCAGTGTACTTTGGTCCTTCTGCCTGTTCTGTTCCCCGCTCTGGCTCTGGTGAATTCTCTCACCATCCCACGATTCTGACTGTACCCAGTGCTTGTACAAATAAATAAATAAATCTTCAAAAAAAAAAAAAAGAAAAGAAAAGAAGGGATACAAAGGAAAACAAAGCAAGAAAAGGGGATAAGGAGTAGCAGCTATTATTTTAGCTAGGGTAGCCAAGGATTTCTTGAGGCAACATTTGAATCAAGACCCAAATGAAATGAAAGACTGAATATTATAAAAGGAAAACCATTTCAAGCGAAAGGATAAAGTGCAAGGCCCTGATGTACAGATATGCTTGACATGCTAAATAAACATCCTCAAAAAAGCCATTGTGATTAGTGAGATAAAAAGAAAATTAATAAACTAAAGAGGTAGCCAGAGATCATCCCTTGTAGGCCATGATAAAAATGTAGGTTTAAATTAGGAATGTGATATGAACATACTTTGAGGTTCGAAACAAGAAACCAATACCCATAATCTAATTTGTTCAAGGGTCATACTGTTAAAAACAGACAGCAAGTCATTAAGAGTGAAAAGAGACCACTGGAGAGCTACTGTAATAAGCCAGGTACTAATTGATGATGGCTCAGATCTAAGTAGCAGTACAGAAAGTAGCGAAAAGTAGTCAGATTCAGGAGATGGGAAAGCTGACAGAATATTGGCTAGAAAACAGAGAATTCAAGAATGGTTTGACCAGTTGGCCTAAGCAGTTATGCAAATGACAATGCCATTCACTAAGCCAATTACATGGGGGAAAGTGATAAGTTTTATTACACACTTTACTAGATGTTCACCCAGATGCCCTGACCTGGCTTGAAATATTAGGAAGTGTAATTTGCAAAAAAATTTACAATTAGAAGTTAAAGAGAATGTGAATATTTGGAAATTCCAGTATCGTTTATAACATTTTCCTCCTTATGAAAATGGTTCAAAATCAATTAACTTTCTTAAAAATGAAGTGATAAACAAAGGATACCTCAGTGGTAGGTGTGGTATGGTAATATATGCTTGAAGGGTCTGATGCTATGCCTCTAAATCAAATACAGCATCATAAACCAATGTTACCTCAATCAAATAAAAAAGAATGAACAAAATGTAACCCAATCATAAATGGAGAATTTTGAGTAATCACATAAACTACAAATGCAAAATTTTAAAGCTGTTTTACATGCCATTCAGTGGAATTTTCAACATAACTTTTATTACCTGTGAAGTGTCATTTCATTTTCTTGATACAGTTCAGTCATTACTTTAAGTTTCTGCTGAAGTTTTTGAGTCTCACTTTCAAACTGTGCATTTTCTGACTGTAGAGATTCTTGTTCAGTCTGGAGAGTTTTTATACGCTCTACAGAAAAATTTTAAAACAACTGAAAGTAAATATTTTGAGTTACATATTAATAGTCCACAAAGATAAAAACTACTAAAAATAACAAATTATTAAATTAAATTTATCAACAGTGAAAACCTATAAAGAACTTTTTTTACAAAAGTGCTCTCTAACATTTTAATTAAAGCTATATAAATTGTTATTTTCATTATTTTTGAAAGATTTCCCAAAATCTTCAATACTGTATTTCTAGTATCTAATTTTCAGTCTTGACATCAAAAGTCATTAAAATTATTCAGAACACTAGGTAGATCAAAGTTTTGAAGATAAATATTTTAGTTGAACATTTCCTGTACAACTACTTCATGATGAAGAAAGCCCGTTTTTAATCCAGTAAAAAAGTTTAATAAACCTGTTAATAATTAAGTTCTACCTAGCCCTACTTTGAAGCCAAAATTTTGATATATAAGTCAAAATCCAAAATTTGGATATTCTGATACAAATGCTCAAAAGTTCTATTAGCTTAAACCAGATCAAGAATGATATAAAAATACCAACTTTGGTTTTGTTTCAACTGCTAAACTACCTAAAAGAATCACCTATAAAAACAAAAGTAAGCAGTTCTAAATATTTTTAAATGCTTTATAATTAATCCACCAATTGTCTTTAATTTCATTTCTCTTCCATCACAATAATCTCAATTCTGAACTCCTCGAAGATTAAAGTACCGCCTTCTAATACATGTATATATGAATCACCACCACAAATCTTAATGAGATAAAACTCATTGTCAATTATACCTCAAAAAGCCTAAAAAGGTATTCTACAAAGATATATATTCTAGAAATTCTATATACAGTATTGTAAACATCTCATAAAAAAAAAAAAGTCAAAACTCACTCTACCTAAAAGGACAGTTTCAAAATCACTAACAAGCATCAAAATTTTAGTAATTCCATATAATGGTATGTAATTATTCTAAAACATTAACAAAATTTATATCACAAAAGGACATTTAAAGTAAATGTCAACATTAAATAATTAAATGCACAGCAAATTATGCACATCTGTATTTTCAGAGAAATTTAAATCAACATCAGAAAAACAGTCTTTTGACCAAGGCTTTAAATCATTGCCAGAAACAGTTACTTAACAAACATTAATGCTGGAAATAATCAGTTAAAATTGGATCATCCCTATTGAAAAAAAATTACAAACCAACATTTACTTACATCTCCATTACATTTTTGTAGTTCCACTATAACTATTTTGTTTCAAATCTTACATAGCTTAAAAAAGCATTAATGAATACCCAAAAAGGCAAGAAGAGGGGAATTAATTTAAAGGAAAATCTTCCTGTTGTGAATAGATCAATTACAGAAATTTATTACACACAGTTCCTCACTGAGAGTATGTAATATATTAAAATACAAGTTCCTTGAAAACAAGCTTATTTTTCTTTCTGTGAATGTCCCATAGCTTTTAGTATTATGCCTTAATAGAGCAAAACTTCACTTTAAGTTAATATTAATGATTTTCAAATTCCAAAACTAATCCAACTACCAACAGCATGTGAATACAATAATGTTTTTTCTTTTGTTAATCTGTATCTTTAGTGGTTCAATCTTTTCAAAGAGTGTTTTACTATAGATACAATAAACTTACTGTAGAAATTTTTGAATATACAGAGTAAAAAGAAAACAGAAACCTGTCCATAATCCCACATTCTAAGATATTCATTGTTGACCTTTGAATATGGGCTCCTATTGTTTTTATGCAAATGGTTTATAGTGAAACATTTTTTTTAATATATGAACTTCAAAAAATTTCAAATGCAACTGACATCTGATTACTAAAAAGAAACATTATCAATAAATTGTTTTTAATGAAAAAAGTCTTTAGGGGCCTCCCCGGTGGCTCAGGGGTTAAAGTCTCAGCACCATCCTGCTATCACCAGTCACTGCAGCTTATTTTGATATCTGGCCAGAGAGATGACCCATATGGCACAAAAGACCTCTCCTGTCTTGCCTACTGCTCACTTCAGCAATGTTTTTCAGCAGATCTGCTAATCTGCTCCCCACTCCATCTCTGTGAATCCTCTCAACCCCTGCACCTCTGGCCTGCACCCTGACTCTTGTATACATAAATAAATAAAAACAAATCTTTAAAAAAAAAACAGAAAAGGTATTCAGTTCTATAGTTGTAACATCACTAGATATTACTATATTATGTACATATAGTAAAGGAGGTAACCATACTACAAAAAGATTTGTAAAATATAGTGGCACCACTACCAAATATAAATTTTGTGATTAACAAAGATTTATAAAAATTAAGTTTTAATTTGCTACTTCTTCCATGTAACCATATCACATATTAACAATGAAATTCAAGTATGGTTATATATATTAAAAAATAATTCCATTATCTTAATTTCATATGAAAAATGATTATTTGAGAAACTAATATGGCTTTATCAAGAACAAAAAGCTCGAGTATAATTTTTTACAATCAATAAAGTAAAATTAAAAATGAATAAATTGGATTTTTATCTTCCAATAGAATGATTCAATTAATGATAATATTAACTATAAAGAGATGTATTAAGAAAAACTTTAAAAGTATGTAGATTACCTACCTGTAAGCTCTTCCTTTGCTTTTTCTACTTCAGATAACTGAGTATAAATTTGGTTTCTTTCTCCTTCTAAGGTTTTTAAAGAAGCATTTAACTTCAAAGAATGGAAAAAAGCAACATTAATCAATTATAACAAAAAAAATCTCAATACACCATCCCAAACTTTTGGGGGTTTTATCTTCTGGATGAAATTGTTATCTAGAATGCACAAACCAACAATACAGCTTGGAAAGTTAGCCACATCATCACTGATTGTAAATCTCATTATAGGGATGAAGAAATCAGTGATGTGCATCAACAATAATTTATATCCTTGAATTTACTTTCAGCATATATGTTTTGATTAAAGCATCCTTGAAACTACATTACCAAGACTTCACATAAAGATCAGGAATCTAGCATTTACTTCTCAAAATAGGACATGCAGCAACAGGAATAGGAAAATACTAAGACCAGAGGAAGACTAGTCAAAGAGAGAAGGATGAAAGAAAATGTAGCAAAAATTTTTAATATAGTATTTATAAAAAGAAATGAGTTCACACCTTGAAATTTTTAATGATAAATTCTAAAAATTAATAATATGAATTTCTAAAGATATAAAAGTAAAAGGCAATACATAAATTTTAGATCACTTCTGAAAATTCTGATCATTTACATGGTAATATACAGTAGCATCTTTTTTTTAAGATTATTTCAGCGTCAAACAACTGGGTACAAGCCAGAAATGTGGGTGGAGAGTGGATTCACCAGAGTGGGGAGCAGAATAGGCAGATATACTGAAATGCACTTGTAAGAGGAGCAGCAGGCAAGACAAGAGAGGTCTGCTGTGTCATTTTTGGGTTAGCTCCCTGGCGAGGGATCGAACTCAGGCCATGGTAATGATAGTGCTGAGACAATCCCCCACACCACGAGGGAGGCCCAATATACAGCAGATTTTAAGAATAGGTACTGAGCCTCGCTGGTGGCCTAGGGGCTAAGTCTCAGATCTATCATGCTATCACTGCTGTGGCCTGAGTTCGATCCCTCGCCAGGGAGCTAACCCAAAAATGACACAGCAGACCTCTCCTATCCTGCCCACTGCCTCCCTTAGCAATGTATTTCACTAAATCTGCCTGTTCTGCTCCCCACACTGTCTCTGGTGAATCTTCTCACCCTCTCGAACCACTGGCCTACACCTCAGTTCACCTATGCATAAATAAAATAATCTTTAAAATAAAAGAACAGGTACTAAGGAAATATGAATTTAATCCATGTTCTAGTCCTTCCTCTCTATTTTTACATTTCTGGAAAAATGCAAACCTTAGCAGCATCAATCAGTTTCTTCAAAGCTCCTTTTGGCTGATTATCTATATTGAAAAACAAAAATACAACAATAAATTGAAAAAACATTACAACACTACAACAGACATCCAAATGATTTGATAAGTAATATCAGGTAAAGCCTTATAATTCCTCTTCTCACTACAAGAGAAAATTTAATATAGCATGGAATGATTTTGGATGTGCTCCCATGAAACTAAACAATAAAAGCACTGGAATTACCATATTATCATTTGGCTAATTCCAAAAGCAGTTATAACAAGGATTTTTGGTATTCACCTAAATAGTCTACATTCCCCATTATTCTTAGAATCCATCAGCATACAAAATGAGTGGGATTATACTCCAAATTAAAATAACATTAAGCAAGCATGAGTTTTCTCATTAGGGGAAAAAAATCATTCTTATAAATACAAGTGAAAAAACAGAAACAAATCTAGAGGTGTATACCTTGGAAATATAATTTTCTTCTAACATGCTAATGCCATGATCGAAGAAAATGTTGTTAAACCACACCTTCTCCTCCTTTACACACACACACACACACACACACACACATATGTATGCATGTATTCATTATGCATGGGATGGAGAGAGAAAAGAGTAAGGACAAAAGCCAGAACAACTACCCTTGGGAGAAGCTGTATGAATGATACAGGAGACCTCTCTTTATACTTCTTTTGTCACTTCCTGTGAATGTATAATTATGTCAAAATAAAAAGCCTTTCTTTTTAAGTCAAAAGAATTGGTTTGACAATATAGTGAGTGACTATAGTGAATATAACTTTTGCCACAGTTTCTGAAATACAATTAGCAAGAGCAATAACAATTTGGGATGGCCAAGACTAAGCTACTATAAACTGTCATCTCAACCATCTATGAATAACTAAAGCAAAAAGAAAGTACCCTAAGGTATTTCTTTTTTTTTTTAAGATTTTTTTTTAATTTATACAATAACTGGGGTACAGGCCCGAGGTGTTGGAGGGTAAGAGGATTTGCCAGAGACAGAGTGGGGAGCAGAACAGGCAGATGGACTGAAAACACTGTTCAGGAGAGCAGCGGGCGAAACAGGAGAGGTCTGCTGTGCCATGCGGGACTCTCCCTAGCCGGCCAAGAATCAAAACCGCGCTGCAGAGGCTGTGGACAGCTTCACAGCGTGGTGTTCAACCCGCTGCACCACCGGGGAGGCCCCAGGTATTTCTTTAAATAATACTCATTTTTAAAACTTTTTACCCAACCATTTGATTAACTTTATACAGAGGAAAACAGACCCAGAAATGATTATGATGTAATGTGAAAACTGCTATAATGCAGATATATAAAATCATAAAAAGGAAGTACAATATATAAAAATAATGGGGAGGAAAGAGGCTCTAAGTCTGAGAAGCAGGATTTACTAAAAAGTGGTACTCCAACTGACACTTAACTATATGGAACAATGAGAAAGGAACAAGTAGTAGAGACAGATGGACAAGATGTGTCAAAGCACAGTGTATAAAGAACATGGTGCACGTGGGGAGCTAAAAGGAAATACAAGAACCAGTCATCACTTTCAGCAAGAAGTTGATTTCTGATTTAACACTTAAGTACGTACCATTTTCTAATTCATTGTTCATTTCTAAGTTATCATCATCTGTTATGTCTTCTCCAAGCACAGTAGCCCAGTCTTTCATCTTTAGCAAGCGTTCAGTAAGGGACTAGACATTAAGCAAAGGGCAGGAAAAAGAAAAGGTAATGCCTTATGCTAACAGCTTTACAACTTCTGAATATACAGTTTAAAAATCAATGCACATGGGTAACAGTACTGAGCTCTTATTATCTACCTGAAAAACTATAACATTTATTGACTATTAAACTCTGTAACTTAAAAACCAAAACTGGTTATTTCTAACCAAACATAATACTTGGTAATACCCATTTTTGCTAAGTATATCATATTACTATAAAGTAACAAATTTTTTTTTTATATGACATTCCTCACATGCCACAAATAAGCATGGTCATTAACATGAACTAAATTTTCTGTAAAGTCAAACAATCAGCAAATGAAGTACATGATATATGAAAAGATCACATTTCACAGACTTGATATATTCAAGTAAACTAGCTGAGGAGGTTCAATTGACATAAAGAAAAAGAACTAACAAAAAGAATCTGAATTGGAACATTACAAGTTTTCCAACAATACTTTTTGAATTTTCTTGAATAAAGGAAGATTTTTGGAGCAATAGAGATCATAAAATGACTGTGCCATGTATTTCTGTGGAAGGACCCACCTAAAAACCCATCTGCTCTACGATTTCCACCCTTCGATCTCCTCCCTCTTGAGAGTTCCAGGCACAAATAACACGGCCTACAGCTTTGAGTAGAGCTTGAGATTAGCACCTCATTCTTGTTCTGTTTAGAAAGAATCCCAAGTCCTTTAGTAAAGTAATTGTGGGAGGAAGAAAACAAATGCCAACTTCTGAATACGACTCCTAAAAACTAGAATCTTGAAAACATTCTTAGAAGTGACTAGCAAAAATGTTTAACTTTCAAGAGGACAACATTCATTTCACTGTGTAGATAACAGAATGTTAGTTCTACATCTTAGTACCTGATAAACACATTTGAGTATCTGCAGCCTGACAGCATAATATTTAAAAGAAAAAGGGATGGGGGAGAAGGAACTAGGAAAAAGTCAACAAGTCCTAAAAGCACTATCAATTATTTCACTACTTTTAGAGTAGTTTTAGTTAATTTATTTCTTTAGAAGTATTCATCTTTCGGAAGGTACACATACTTAGCTAATCTAGGTAATAAATATATTAGGTCAATACATATAACTTCATCTGTCCAATTTCTAAATCTTTTACAACCTCTTATCAACAGATACAGAGGGTAGTCCAAAGATAAAAGGGAAAACCCAATGTTCTTTTTCTCTCTTATTAAAATACCTAGGCTAAAAATACAGAACAGGGGATACATGGACTCTCAATACATATACTGCAAATTTACAAGTCCTCATGGAGCATTTGGCATCATGGGTGATGATGACAGCACAAATTAGAATGTTTGTCCCAAAAGTACACATTCTCAAATTTGGCCAATTATCAAAATAAAAAATGCTAAAAACAAAACTTCAAATTTCAGAATTAGTATAAAATTCTAGCTCACACATCACTAAAACCAACAGGGCCATTTACCTTTATCTGATTTTCTTTATCATAAAGAACTTGTTCCACATCTACTTTGGAGACTTCAAATGCTATTTTCTGTTTATTAAGTTCACTCACTTGTTCTTTCCATTCTTCAACTTCTTGTAAAAACTAAAATTCAAATCCCACAAAAAAAAAAGCAACTCATATTATCATATTTATGTGTAGATATATTTATTTAGATATTTAGATATATCATTAATTGATATTATACAATTCATTGTTTTGTTGAGAAAGGAGGGTAGGAGGAGTAGAAAGTGGAAAGAGAGGGCAGACTCCTTTCTAAAAACTTTCAAAATAGGAATAATATAAAATAACATACTTCGACATTCTTCGACTGATTTACTTAATAAATTTATATCAAATAAAATGTTGCCTGATATAGACATATCTGTTAGATTTGATCATCTTACCATTCCTTATATTCCACACACAATATGCCACACCTTACTTACGTTAAAAAAAAAATTTTAAATCATGTGCCACTTTATAGTTAAATTAACTAAGCTTCAGAAATACCATTAATCTAGGACATATCAAATTTTGTATAATCTTTTACTGTATATACTTTTACATGAGAGAAAAGACTTTCTAAATATGATACAAAAGATTGATATAAAAGACAGATTTGACTATACAATGCTTTAAAGCTTTTCAAATCACACTTTGTATCTATCCTATACAAAAGAAACAACAAAAGACATATAGGAGGTTATCCTGTTGTCCTGTTGTGGGGTGGGGGGAGCCTTCTCTTGCCCCTGGTCTGGGTCACTCATGAGTATGCCCAGGACAATGAAGGATCTACAATACAAACCTGTTGCTGTGTTTCCTGAAGTTGGGAATTTTCATTCATTCCATCTTTTATAGCTATCTTAAGTCGTTCTTCATTCATTTGAAATATTTTTAAGGTTGTTTTGGCCTAAGTGAAAAAACAATGTATTAAATTTATAACAACTTAATATAATGCAATAGCTTTTTTTATACATACTTTCTAAAACATGGAATAAACAAAGTCAAAAGCTTTGATTTTATTATAGAGAAGCAGTACAGTGTAGCAGAAAAAAGGCTAACCCAGAATCAAGATCTAGCCATGGTTTTGCCACTAATTTGCCATGTGATCTTGGACAACTGCTTTAATATTTTGTAACCTTCCATGTACTATGTAGCAAATCTTATTAACTGGGTGCTATATCTGCCTTACCAGAATGTAAACTCCATGAGGGTTTTCCTATTTTATCCAAGCAAAGTTAAGTGCCATTGTCATACCTTCAAAAGTGACCAGTACATAGAAATAATTCAATAAAAACTTGTCCCATGAAAATGTGAATTTTCCTGAAGTACCTTGTATAATATATATATATTTAACCACTAAATCACAAATTCTATTTTATCTTATTCCTTAATTTAAATGTAATCATAAAATGGGCCTCCCTGGTGGCACAAGGGTCCCAGCGCTATCAAGCTACCAACAGTCACTGCAGCATCAGTTCAATTCCCTTATCCCCAACCAGGGAGCTAACCCACATGGCACCACAGACCTCTCCTGTCTTGCCCACTGCTCCCCTCAGCAGTGTGTTTCAGCAGATCTTCCTGTTCTGCTCCCCACTGTCTCTAGTGAATCTTCTCACTCCCCGTACCTCTGGCCTATACCCCACTTCTTGTATGCAAAAATAAAAAATGATAATAATAAAAAGATCTACTTAAAAATAAATGTAACTGTAAAAATCATTTTAAAAAGCAACACACCTATACACTAATTCAACTTACTTCAGCTACTTGTGATTTGAGGGATTTTGATTCATCTTCTAGGGATTGTATCTTTTGGGAAATATCCACCATCTAGAAAGACAGCATCAATAAACAAACAAGTATTTACTAAACTCCAGTTTCCAAGATGCCATATATATTAGACATGCTGTTCATCTACTATTTTGCTTCAAAAGCGAGGGCTCAAATTAGGACACCTTCTCAGCTATATGCTTTAAGGGATTTTATATGAAAGTTACACAGTATTTCATCTCTGTTTTTCAGTGTTTCATAACTTGTAAGTCATGTAGGTTAAAACATGGTAAGTCCACTTAACATCACATCTTACTAAATAAATTCACTCACTTTCATAAAATCTTAAAGTCAGATTTTAAAATAAAATGACTAAGGAAAGTTAAAATGTACTTGACATATCTTTTGAAAAATAAAAAAGATCTACTATGTGATTAGTCAACATAAATTATGTGAGCTACTTCTATAGGGCATACAGAAAATTTCTTTAAGAATCTGCAAGAAATTTAATATGGTAATGGAGCCAGTGAATTTGAAAAAGTTTACTCTCCACTTTATGCTGGATTTTTGCAGCCTATGTAATACTCTAATCATCATATTATTCATTTTTTAAAACCCAGTAACTTTCTTTCTTATCGTTTCCTCAAATACAAAATCCTTACCAATTTGTCTTGTTCAGAATGTTTTAACTTCTCTTCCTCTAACTCTTTTTCTAGAGAAAGTATTTCATCTTCAAGTTCAGATTTAGAACTGTTCAACTTTTCGTACATTGCCTAAAAGAAGAAGTCAACTTTGTAAGACAGATATAGGAACTTTTGGTTAGGGTAAATCAGATGAGTATGATCTAGCACATATGCCGTAATTTAAATAAGCTTATTTTTTAGATTTGCTCATTTTTATAACATTAAAACAATAGCCATTCTAGCAAGGGTTAAGAAAATCTTTTCTACAAAGAGTGATTGAGTAAATATTTTAGGCCTGCAGACCATGCAGTGGTCCAAATACATAAATAAATAAGCGTGGCTGTATTCCAATAAAATTTTATTTACAAAAACAGGTGGAAAACCCACTGAATAGAGCTTACCATCCACTGCTCTAAAGTATTATAAAGGAAAAAATGAGAAATAAGCCCAATTTAATATAGACAACAAGAAATAAACTTAATCAAGATTGCTTCATAGTAACATTGTAACTGAATTAAGGCATTTATGTGACCTTTTTAATTAAAAATGATTTATTAGATTTTAAAATAGATTCCAATTGGATTTTAAAAACTATGAAAACATACCTCTGACATTTGTGATCCTTCAATAAACTTGTTTGAAAAAATAAAACAAACCAAAAGATTCAAAGAATTTAGTGCAGGCCAAAATAAGAGCATAACAAATACATACTGTATATAATGTGGTTTTAAAAAGCATGGATATGTATTTCCCCTAATGTAACTACTTAAAATATACAAATTCTGTATGACTCAAAATTACTGTTATTTTGACTTTAATTAGATTCAATCACCAAATTTTTAAAAATTGTATCACATTACATTTATATTAAAATTTTGAAACTAATCTTGAAAATAGTAGATACTTGTAAAACTTACTAAACTACAGAAAAAAATTTCAAAATATTTTTTTTCAAAGTAAAAATACAACTAATTTTACTGGTTGTAATATAAATTCAATGCTTTGAGGACAAACTGGTGCTTTATTTTACCCACAACACTACCAAATCTGAATAAATATCTTTGCTCTCCAGTTTTTGCTCTTTCATTACCATGTCTAATGTCTTCTAAAGTCTTTTCTTTTAATGAAACTAATAAATTTATACTGAAACAGTAGTTAAAACCGAGGGTCAAATAAAATATAACTATTTTAACAAGCTCTTGAAGATATTTAAAGGTAATGAAGGAAAAGAAAATAGTTACAAGAAATGCACTTCAGGGCCTCCCTGGTGGCTCAAGGGGTTAAGCACTGCACTATGAAGCAATCTGCAACCTCTGCAGCATGAGTTCAATCCCCGACTGGCCAGGGAGCAACCCATATGGCACAGCAGACCTCTCCTGGCTCACCGGCTGCTCCCCTCAGCAGTGTACTTCGGTCAATCTGCCTGTTTTGTTCCCCACTCTGTCTCTGGTGAATCCTCTCACCCTCCGCATCTCTGGCCTGTACCACAGCTCTTGTATGCATAAATAAATAAATCTTAAAAAAGAAATGCACTTCACTTGGAATACAATCTATAACTCCTGTTGGATTAGGAAATCCTGAATTATGACACAGACTTTCTAATGATTACACACACAAGTGACAGAGAACTGCCAACCAGGACTGATAGAACACGTATACCAAAGGTACAAGGTCCATTCTTTCCTACTTTAATATTAAGCAGAAACAGGCTTCCTCTCTTGTGACTACTACACTTTTTACAATATTTCAATCTCTAACAGTAGTAAGACATTCTCATTACTTACCCAAATCTGATATAGCTTATCTACATGAATACTCATCACAAGTCCTTCCTTACTATTAACCAGTTCATACCAGGTTTGGAGAGTCAACTATGTACATATCGCTTCCAAATTCCACATTCAGTGATATGCTGGTACTTTGAAATTGGTCACAGTGGGTGTATTTACACAACAGAAATCAGTGAATGTTACAAATAAGAACTCCTGCTTTTCAGAGAGCCAGTTGATAAAGAACATTTACCAGCACATCACTGTTTACAATATAAATCTCTGGTCTAATTCTAGTCAGTTTCTAACATACTGGAGATGAAGTAAAGGCAAGTACTGCCATAATGTACATATATCTTTGCCAACAATTCCTCAACAAATGAAAGTGAATCCTATTTCTCCTTCCCAGAGCAAACAGAGTAATACAAAGGAAAGGTCACCTAATATAGTTTACACAAACAAAAACTTCTATGTGGCCCTAGATTCTAATGAACTGAATATGCCTCACTCAAAATAAATTAGCAACTGAAGCTGAAAATTTTGAAATGTTTTATGCTATATGCTAATGCTATATTCCAAATATTTTTTTCTTTAAATTTCACATCCAGGCACATTTTTCAGATTTCCTTTGAAATAGTTTCTTTTTGATTTTTTTTGTTATTTTTTTATTTTATATTTTTTACATTGTTCTTCATTTTTTTACAATGTGAGAGGATACATTACTTTCAATGTTTACATTACTTAGTAAGAATCTTTTCCCCATCTATTATAATTACACTCTTATGTTTTTACCTCCAAGGTTTGGGCATCTGTTGACTCTTTCTCAAAGTCAGCATCCTTTACAGATGACTCTAAGCCGTTATACTGAAAAGAAAACAATATTAAGTAAAAACTCTGTATAGGCCTCCCTGGTGGCCCAAGGGGTAAGTCTCAGCATTACGAAACTGATTACTAGTCACTGCAGCATGGGTTCCACCCCCAGCAAGGGAGCTACCCACATGGCACAGCAGACCTCTCCTATCTTGCCTGCTGCTCCCCTCAGCAGTGTATTTCAGTAGATCTGCCTGTTCTCTTTCCCACTCTGTCTCTGGTGAATCTTCTAACCCCTCGGGCATATCTGGCCTACACCCCAGCTCTTATATGCATAAATAAAATAAATCTTTTTAAAAAAAATTCTATATAATTTTCTCTTTTATAGGTACTCTGTCTCTTTAGTAGACAGAATCCACTTCATATGTAGATTTAGCTTGGCTTTAAGTTCTTCAAATATGATGGTCACTCTAACAAAGTGAGGGCAGTTAACTTATCGTAACATACACCGTGTGCAACAAATACATCTTGCGCAACTAGAGCTTCACCCTTAAGACTTAAAGGTCTGTACAAAGTCTACATATTTATTGAAAAGAAATGTATACTAACTGATTACCAGAATTTGTACTTCTAATTCAAGTCATTCAACAAAGTTAAGGAGGAAATAAAAAATTTTCAAAAGATAAAGAGACTAATGAAGAACAATGCTTTAAAAAGGACAATGAAACATACAATGATACAAGGTTTGGAAAAACACACTTGCTTCAATGTTCAAAAAAAGGGATTAAGTGGAAGACAAGGCTGTATGGATCAAGTTTCTCACTAAGTACAAGAGAAGAGGGCCTCTCTGGTGGCGCAAGGGGTTAAGCACCGCACTTTGAAGCAATCCAAAGCCTCTGCAGCATGATATCAATCCCCAGCTGGCCAGGGAGCAACCCACATGGCGCAGCAGACCCTTCCTGGCTCACCTACTGCTCCCCTCAGCAGTGTATTTCAGTCAGTCTGCCAGTTCTGCTCTCCACTCTGTCTCTGGTGAATCTTCTCACACACACACAACCCCCCCGCCCCAACCCCGGCATCTCTGGCTTGTACCCCAGCTCTTGTATGCATAAATAAATAAATCTTTAGAAAAAAAAAAAGAATAAGAGAAGAGTTGGACAAAAATACCAAGAACAGAATATGCCTAAAGGTCTCAGAGGGCTATCAATAGAGTAAAAATTTATCACAGAAAAGGGAATACTCAAAATTCAAGTTCAGCATTTGACATTTCCTTTACCCTCAAAGGTAGAGGGTAACAGGGAGCCAAGAAGACAAAACCTGGATTTTAGAACCTGTTGAATATAAAGAGGCACAGAGCACATACTGTTTTATCCCATTTAAGTGATTTATCCAGAATAAGAAAATGTACATCCAGCATAGATGAACCTTGATTACATTATGCTATGTGAAAAAAGACCAACCACAAAGGACAATATAGTATGATCACATTTATGTGAAATGGAATCCAGAATACACAAGTTCATAGAAAAACAAAACAGGTAAATTGTCTAGGGCTTGGGAGTGGGGGAGACTGGGTGCAGGGCGACAGCTAAAGGACACAAGGGTTTTTTTTAGGATAATGAAAATGTTTGAGAATTGTGGTGATAGATACACAATTCCATGAATATATTGAAAGACATTCATTTGTATAATTTAAATGTATGTGAATTATATCCCAACAAAGCTGTAAAAGAAAAACTGCTATATACAACAGTTGCAAAAACCATCAAACTCAAGGAAATAAACCTAAGAAAAGACATGTAAAACCTCAGCATAAAAAAGCTACAATACTGAGAGAAATTTTTAAAGACGATAGACAATGGGTAAGAACTTGGTATTATAAAAATGTCAATTCTCTCCAAATTCATCTACATAGTGAAAACAATTCCAGCGAAATTCCTAGCAGTATATATGCATGCATGTATGTGTAAACTGATGAACTGATTTTAATTCTAGCATGAAGATTAACAATTTCAAACTTCCCTTACCTCTTTTTGGACAAGGCTCAATTTTTCAAGTAGTTTACATTTTTCTTCAATTAGTGTAGAAAGTTCTACAGCAAGCTTTTTCTCTCTTCCTATAAAGAAGTTAGTATTATCATGTGCAAATTGTTTTAAGTTTTAAAATTACAAGCAACAGGGCCTCCCTTGTGGCACAAGGGGTTAAGACACAATCTATGAAGCCATCCGTAGCCACTGCAGCACGAGTTCGATCCTCTGCCAGGGAGCAACTCACATGGTGCAGCAGACCTCTCCTAGCTTGCCCGCTGCTCCCCTCAGCAGTGTATTTCACTCAATTTGCCTATTCTGCTCCCCACTCTGTCTCTGGTGAATCCTCTCACCCCCCATACCTCTGGCCTGTACCCCAGTTCTTCTATGCATAAATAAATAAACCTTTAAAAAAAACTACAAGCAACAATGAAATCTAATATAAAGAACTTACCCATATAAAATCGGCTTCTAACCTGTAGAAACAAATTTTTAATAGAAATTACATTAAAACAAATATACATTCAAGTGCATCTAATTTATTTAATTTCTATTTCCATCTTAATATTAATGGATTTCTTACTGCCTTAGTATGAATGTTAGCCAAAAGAGTTCTATTTTCAATGAAAAAAATGTTATACATTAAAATCTCCCTATTGGAGATTCATCTTGGACATTATAAAAGTTTATTAAAGGCTTAAAGATACTTCTTTAATTTCATTTTACCCATTGTTCTTTAAACACATTTGATCCTAAAACAAAACTTCAGGAAGTCTCTATTATCATCTGCCCTAGTGCTAATACCCAAAATAACAGTTTGAGGAATGTTACCATAGGGTCATAGATCTAAACTGATATAAAGAACAAACAAAACCTTTTCCTTCTTTAACTTCTCAAATAATGAAGGAAAATTCCATTTACAAGGGGATCAGGCATAGAGCTATGGGAAATGAGCAAAGAGAAAAACCAGGAACTTAAATCAACTATAGAAGATGTATGGGAATAAAATTAAAATTCAGAGACAAAATTTAAAAGCCATAGGATAGTAGAATGGGTATAGATGAGGAATACATCAGTTAACTGAAAGATCAGATAAAGGAACTATCTCAAAAGACAATGGGAAATCATTTGGAAAAATTTAACAGATGTGACATCCTGAAGTAGAAAGGCCAACATCTAAAACACAGCAGCCACAAAAAGAAAAATATACAAAGTGCAGAATAAATTTCCAATAGAAGATTGAATTTATGGATTCCAAACCCTCGTATACTATTAGTGGTAATATAAAGTGTGCAGTCATTATGGAAAACAGTATAGAGATTGCTCAAAAAATTAAGAAATGAAATACCATATGATCCAGCAATTCCTCTTCGTGTATTTATGCAAAGAATATGAATACACTAACTTGAAGAGCTAAAGGCACACCTATGTTCACCACATTTTCACAATAGCCAAGAGATGGATACAACCAAAGTGTCCATATACAGATGAATGGATAAAGATGAGGTGGATATACACACAATAGAATAATTTTTTTTTAATAAAATCCTGAAACAACATGGAAAGATCTAGAAGGTATTATGCTTACTGAAGTAAGTTAGATCAAGAAAGATAAACACCATATGATTTTACCTCATGACATACATAAAGAAATAAATGAAAGAACTAAATAAAACAAAAATAAACTTTCAAACTATAAGTGGCTAGTAAAAGGGAGGGAGGAAAACGAAGTAGATAAATCGGCTAAAAGGAGTCAAATGTATGCTGATGGATTGAAACTAGAATTCTGATAGCAAACACCTAACACCTAAAATGTTATAAATCAGTATAACTTGAAAAAGATTCCAGAAGATCCTAAAAGAGGAATAAGAAAAAGGAAATTCAAATATAAACATATTATTTTGAAATAAGACTATCAAAAGATTCTAAAGCTACCATAGAGAACAGATCACTTATGATTAAGAATCACACTGACATTAGACTTTTTCCATAAGTAACATTATTAAACGGACTGAGAACTATGGGTATAAAGTATTAAAAGGATATAATATTGGACCTATACTGATTATTTCAAACAAATTATCATTCCAATGTGAGGGCTTATTTCAAATACCATCAAGTATTCAAAATAAAGTCTCAGGTGATTTGCCACACAAAGCCCAACACTAAAAACAATCTTATTCAAATATGGGAAGAATTAGATTCAGGAGACCTTCCAAGAGACATGTCACTAAGGGTGATCAAATACTTTGGTAAGCTTTGTTGTGATCCTCAAAGGTTAAGAAAAAAGTTAAGAAAAAAGATAAGGAGAAATAGATCAAAAATTCTAGATTATACCAACATCATGTGCATCAAAAGTGAAAAAGCATGGAAAATGAGAGTATACTAACAATCTTCTTAGGAAGACTTACTTATCAATGTAGAAGAAACTTAAAAGAAACATAAAAACAAATTAATAAATTAAACTAGAAGAAACTAATCGAAAAACCCTCAATAATCAATAGTCATAATATATAAAAAGTGGGACCTTTACATACCCTATGTCCCAGTAATCTCTCTCCCAATAAGTCCCAAGAAAAACTTACAAATATACAACAGGAGACATGTAAGAATATACACAGCGGCACTATTTGTAATTGAAAAACAACCCAAATGCACAAGACCATACAATCTATAAAGTGTAATAATCTAGAGAAAACAAAATGGAAAAAATTATAGGCTCATCCAAATATTCAAAACATAACACAGTCATGACATCAAGTAAAATTACAATTTTAAAGACTATATGTAGATATGACCCAAAAAGATATTTTTTAACCCATAAAATAATCAACACAGAATCCAAAAGAGGGTTAACCTCCACTTCAGGGAGACAGAGGGATTAAAAATGAGAAAGGATCTCCTAAACATAAATGATAGTCAACATTTTTAATTCCAGGTTGGGTAGTATATTCACAGATTATCTATACTGTTAAAAAGAAACACAGACCCCCCAACACCAAATAAAAAATGAAAGCAGGGCTTTAGTATTAGTGGGAAATATTTCTACCAAGAAGTTTTTATAAAATTTTATGCTTAAAAAAAATTCCTCTAAATCTATTTTCAGTTTCTCATGGATACATATTAACATGGGTAACCCATCTAACTACAACCTACCATTTCCTTAAAATAAAAGATATGTTTCTCACATTACTTGTTCAAACTGAAAACATGAATATTCTCTCAGAATATTGTATTGATTACTCACTGATCGAAAACTTCTCCATAAAAACAAGAGAACAGCAAACAATCCAACAAAAGTTGCACATATCACCAATTCCCATGGAAAACCATAGGGAGTAGGACCTGGCCTCATATCTTCAGGCAAAGCTGCAACAACCTTCAAGAAAAAGAAAATTAACTTTAAAAAATGAACTTTCATCACTGCAAAGGAAAAAAATCAACCTACAAAATAGGAGAAAATATTTGCAAATCACTTATATTATAAACAGTTAATATTCAAAACACATTAAAATCTCAAACAACTCAATAACCAAAAAAAATTTTTTCAATTAAAAATATGGACAGAATAACTGAAAAAATACTTTTCCAAAGTCGACATACTGATGGCCAGATACATGAAAAGAGGTTTAACATTATTAAATCAGAGATGTGCAAATTAAAACTACAATAAGATATCACCTTATTCTTGTTAAAAGTTATTATCAAAAAGACAACAAATGAGAGGCCTCCCTGGTGGCACAGGGGTTAAAGTCTTGGCACTGTCAAGCTATTGTAGCCACTGTGTCATCAGTTCGCTCCCTGGGCAGGGAGCTAACCTACATGGCACAGCAGACCTCTCCTGTCTTGCCTGCTGCTCCCCTCAGCAGCGTATTTCAGTAGATCTGCCTGTTCTGCTCCCCACTCTGTCTCTGGTGAATCCTTTCACCCCTCACACCTCTGTCCTACACCCTAGTTCTTGTATGCATGAATAAAAATAATTTTTAAAAAAAAAGACAACAAATGGTGAAAACATGAAGAAATGAGAACCTGGAGCATAAATTAATGCAGTCAATATGGAAAACTGCATAGAGGTTCCTCAAAATATAAAACAAACTACCCCATGATACAACAATTCTACTTTTAGGTATTTATCTGAAGAAAACAAAAAGACTAACTGAAAAGATATCTGCACCTCCATGTTTACTGCAGCAATATTTGCAATCGCCAAGATACAGAAACAACAGATAAATGAATAAATAAATCTGCCAACAGATAAATGAATAAAGAGCATGGTGTGTATATGTATGGAATGGAATATTACTTGACCATGAAAAAGGAAATTGGGACGCTTGTGACAATATCATCAGACCTTGGACCTTAAGGACATTATACTAACTGAGATAAGTCTAAGAAAGACAAATACCTTATGACCTCTCATATGTGGATTCTTTAAAAAACAAAAATACTGAGCTCATAAAAGATTGATGATTCTCAGAGGTGGGGATGTGGGCAAAATGTGTTAAAAAGTGTCCACTTTAAATTTCCAGTTATAAAATAAATAAATCCTAGGGATAATGTATAATATGGTGACAGCAGTTTATAATATTGTATTGAATATTTCAAAGTTGCTACAAAAATAAATTATTTAGGACCTCCCCTGCTGGCGCAGCGGTTGAGCGCTGGGCTGCAAAGCTGCCCGCAGCCTCTGCAGCTCCAGTTCGATCCCTGGCCGCAGGCAAGGGTCCCACATGGAGCCACAGACCTCTCCTGCCACGCCCACTGCTCCCTTCAGCAGTATCTTTGCTCCGTCTGCCTGCTCTGCTCCCTGCTCTGGCTCTGGTGAATTCTCTCACCCTTCCGCGCTTCTGACTGTACCCAGCGCTTGTATAAATAAATAAATAAATCTTAAAAAAAAAAGTAAATTATTTAAAGTTCTTATCACAAGAAAAAAAATTCTAACTATGCCCAGTGACTACCACCTTTTAAGGTAATTATTTCACAATATATACACGTATTAGGTCATTATATTGTAGACCTGAAATTAATGTTATATGTCAATTTTATGCCTCAATTACAAAGTAAATAAAATTTGCTTTTGATTAAAAGTGTTGCAATAGACTAAATGTTGGTATCCTCTCAAAATTCATGTTGAAAACTCATCCCCAATGTGATGGAATTTGGAAGTGAGGCCTTGGGGAGTATTTGGGTCATGAGAGTGGAATCCTCATGTATAGGATTAATGCCTTTATGAAAAACACCCCAGAGTATTACCTTGACCCTCCACCACGTGAGATTATGAACAGAAGACCAAGAAGCTGCCCTAGTCAGACACCAGATGAATGGTCATTGTTTAAGCCAACCATCTATACTATGTGACAGTGGCCCAAACACACTTAGACACAAACCTAAGAACAAGTTTATGTATATACATGATAAACCTTTGCATGAGATGTGCTGCCAGACTATTCAAATGCCAAAGAAAATATATCAGAACATATTTTTCTGGCAACTTTCTACCACTATTACCAAATGATGAAGAATAGCAGTACAGTGTATACAATTACTTCAATCAAAGTGAAATTCTATACGGGTGTCAGAGTCTTTTAGGATGAGAATAAGAGAGAAGGCCAAAGAAAGGTCAAAATAAGTTAAGTTCAGGTACTCTTATCCCAATTTCAACCAGTTTAGGTTTTATTTATTGTATATAGCAGGTTCCCTTAGGGGAAGGGGAGATAGTTGGAACCGTAACTTTAAAAATGCTTAAAAACACAACAGAGTTTTAGATTTAGAAATTGAATCCCTCTACTATCCCTCTGGATTTCTTCTCTTATCTATAATGGAAATAATGCTATTTGAACATACAGAGCAAGCACACAATAAAGTAACTAACCCTTCAATATTATTCCTCCTCTTCCTATTACCCCGGTAACCTTGGCCTTTCCACAATACTTCTCTCCTAGCAGGTCTGCAGCACAAAACAGCTTAAAGCTTTTGCAGCTACTTCTGTATTTCATCTTTCTCTAGGTCAGCTCATTATTCATCCTAACCCCATGGAGAGATTCTTTATTACCAGGACCCAGATATAACTCAATCATATAGAAAGGAGAAAAGCAGAGGAAAGATGGGGAAGAAAAATGCCCTGTTAAGAATCCAAAGTCTGTTCAGGTTTGATTCTTTCCAGGGTTGAATCCAAAATCTCTAAGAAACAGTTCCCCTTTTAGGTGCTTTCTATCAAGAAAACACCCTTAACTGTCTATTCTCTCCTCCAAAATTTTTTTTCATAACCCTATCCATATAAGTCCTTCCATATTATATCTGCAGTTCACTAACCTGTATTAAACAGGACCTGGCTGGTGGCACAGGGGTTAAGCACCCCACTATAAAGCAATATGCAGCCTCTGCAGCACGAGTTTGATCCCCGGCCCACTGCTCCCCTCAGCAGTGTACTTCGGTCAATCTACCTGTTCTGTTCCCCACTCTGTCTCTGGTGAATCCTCTCACCCCCCCCCCACACCTCTGGCCTGTACCCCAGCTCTCATATGCATAAATAAAAAAATCTTTAAAAACAAAAAACCCTGTATTAAATAAAGCTGATTACACCTCTTGTAAAAAAAAAAAAATACATACACACACACACACATATAGCCTTTACCCTCATCACTTTTTTTCCTATATTAACCCAGTTAACAGTTCACAGAAATGCTGCATCACTAGTCAATCAATAATAATAATATTATTATTATTTCTGGTTAAGAAAAAAGGGCATTCAATACACAATAATGGGGAGAAAAGTTTTCATTACCATTTACATATTCTCTAAGCATCTTATTTAAGCTATTTCAAACCATAAAATGAACATTACTTAAAAAAACTTAGTCAGTATGATTTCTTTACAATACCACAGCACTTTAAGGGACAATTCTAAAAGCTGCTCTCAAATCAAACATGCAATTATGTTCAATACAGTAATATTGCGTACATTTAATACAGTAATATTGCTTACATTAAATAGCATTTTGTCAGCCCTTGAATTTTAAATGGAGATGTTAAATTATAGGTTAAAGCCTTGAACTGGTTATGCAGTGAACAAGAAAATGAAGCCCACTCTCTCCCCATTTATTGAACATTTTACTGGAGAGTCTAGCAAATACAGTTACACAAGATAAAGAAATAAAAGGCACCCAGACTAGAAATAATGAAATAAAACTATCTCCTTTTGAAAATGATATAATCTTATATAAAGAAAATCCTAAATAATCCACACACCAAAAAAAAAAAAAAAAACAAAAACAAAACTACTGAAACTAATAAACAAATCTGATAAAGTTGCACAATACAAATACAGGGGGAAAAAAATCACATTTCTATACAACAGAAACAAGCAACATGAAATTAAATTAACATTTCTACTTATAATTGCTTCAAAAAATAAAATACTTTGGAATAAATTTAATAAAGAACAAACATTATACTCTGAAAACTACATAACAATTTTCTAAGAAATTAAAGAATATCTTAAAAAATGAAGACCCATATTCATAACCTGGAAGCCTTATTATCAAAATGGCAATCCTCCTCAAATTGATCTAAGAGTTAATGTAACCCCTATCAAAATTCAAATTGCCTCTTGTAAAAAAGTGGAAAATCTGATCCTAAAATTCATAAGGAAATGTGAGGGTACCCAAATAGCCAAAACTATATTAAAAAAGAACACTGCTGAAGAATTCACGCTTCCCAATTTCCAAGCTTACTACAAAGCTATATAATAAGCTAGACAGTTTGGCAATGGCCTAAGAACAGACTTACAGGCAAAAAGAAAAGAAATGAACATACAGAAATAAATTCTTAAATTTATGGTCAGTTGATTTTAAACAGTGGTATCAAAACAAATCAATGGTCAAAGAACAGTCTTTTCAACAAAAGGTACTAGGAAAAGTAGACATCCACCTGCAAAGGAATGAATCTGGACCCATACTTTATTTTATATTTAAAAATTAATTCCAATGGATCACAGGCCTTAATATAAGACCTACAACTCTTAGAAGGAAATACAGGTGTAAAATTTGTGACCTTATTTTAACCAATAGTTTCTTAGACATGACACCAAAACCACAAGAAAACAAAGAAATAAACTGGATTTCACCAAAAATTAAAAACCTCAGATTGCTTCAAAGTACACCACCAAGAAAGTTAAAAGATAACCCACAGAATGGGAAAAAATATATGCAAATCAAACATCTGATAAGGGTTAAATATAGTGGATATGTAAAAAACTCCTAAGAAACAGCAAGGAAACAAATAATCCAAACTTTTAAATGGGCAAAAGAATTGAATAGGAATTTCTCCAAATATACAGATATATAAATGGCAAATAAACACATGTACAAATGCTCAATATCTTTAGTCTTTAGGGAAAGGCCATCAAAACCACAATAAAACATCACTGTTTCTAAAAAAAGTAAACTGTTAAAGAGGATGTGGAAAATTAAACTCTCAAACTGCTGGAAGGAATGTAAAAAGATGTAGCCTCTATGGAACAAAATTTAGCAGCTTCTCAAAAAGTTAAACATTCCGTAAACATGATCCAGTAATTCCACTTCCAGGTATACACCCAAGAGATCAAAAACATTCATTAAAAAAGGAAAAAAACTTGCTCAAGAAAGTAGATATCAGCATTACTCATAATTGCCAAAAAGTGGAACCATACAAATATTTGATAACTATGGATAGTCAAAATGTGGTAGGTATTCCCATATAATGGAGTATTTTTCACTCATAAAAAAGGAATTAAGTACTATTAAATATCATAAAATGTACAAATTTTAAAAAGCAAGTTAAGTAAAAGACCACACATACACAAAGAGCCACATACTGTATGATTCCATTTACATGAAATGGCCAGAATAGACAAATTCACAGAGACAGAAAGTAGGTTAGTGATTGTCAAGAGATGAGGAAAGAATTGGGACTGATGAAGTTTCTTTTCGGATGACGAAAATGTTCTCAAGTGGTGGTGATGATTTCACAATATAGTGAATATGCAAAAAAATTACTCAACTGGACACTTTAAAAGAGTAGATTTATATTTGTGAATTACATCTAATAAAAAATGAAGTAAATAATACTGAAATTGAAAACCAGACCAGTATTGCACCATCCTAGCCCTAGGCCAGTCTGTGAGTGTACTGACATTCAGCAAAAAAACATCAATCACATGAAGATGTTGTTAGTCCGGCAACCTTTCTCCATGTCTCTCTCCATTAACAGTTCTAAGACCACTAAGTTTTGATTATTGCGTTTTCAGTGAAGAAAGGGAAATGTGGGCAAACTGAAATGATCTCTCATATCACAATATGCTTTTCTTCCCATTATAAACCCATTCTCTGTGAAGGGATAGGCTACTGTAACCAGAAACCTGGGAGTTATTCAAGTTTCCTTCTCTCTCATCCTTCTCATCCAATCAATAAAATCCTACCCATTTTAGCTCTTAGTTACCAAGTATTACCTCATTCAGTACCCTCTTCTCCAACTCTACTACACCGTTATCTCTGCCCTACGCCCTGCTTCTAGTTTGGTTTTCTTTACATCTAACCTACATGCTACTATTAGGAACATCTATATAAACTAATAGAATTAACCACTGAAATTTTTCAATGGCTCTCCAGCATTTACAGCACCTGAAACCTACTTATGCCTCCAGGCAGCATCACTGCATATCAATCCCTCAACTTACTCTACACTGTAGTAACAGCTTCTAGTTCACTATACATACCATGCTGTTTCAAGCCTCCTGTGCTTAACCCATTTGCTCAGTACACAAAGGCTAACCAAAATAATCAAAAAATGTAATCTCTCCCACCCCTCAATTTCTCTAGCAGTTTTTTATGTATGCTTCCCTAAGCAATTCATCAGTTTCTACTTTGCACTATTTTTTGTCGTCTTTCTCCCTTAACAGACAGAATGATACCATTAGCCTAAACTATGTCTCAGTCCTTTTAGAATCTCCACAGACTATCATTCAAACATATGATGGGGGACTATAACCAAAATGAAAATGCATACATTGTGCAAAAATGAAAAATGATATAAGAATTATATAAAATAAAATATTAAAAAACATATATGATGATTGATATATGACACATATATAAGTGCTCCAGAAGCATTATCAGATTTCAGGACTTACTTGTAATCTAAAATGTTGAGGGGGAAGGGTAGACCTTTCACCCTCCCTCAGGCAGTCAGTGCACTTTTCCAATTTTTGAATGATTACCATTCCAAATAGTAAAATCATAGATTAGGGGCAAATACACGTTATATATGTGTATGAATGTATGTATGTCACTAGACACACGATAACTGAATGAATACCATGCACCACTTTTTTTAAATTTATGTAACAAGAAACCAACAATCAAAACTGCCTTAACATTTAAAGGGATTTAAATGCAGATAGTTTTTTTTTTTAAACACAGAGACATAAACGCCAACAAAGGTGTCTTTAGATACACTTAGAGACACAGCCCCCTGCAACCTAATTATAAACTGAACCTGAAAAAACAAATTTTGAACACTAGTTTAGTATCTCCAAATTTTACATTGTTACAACCTCACACATCAACACGACAAAAAAGAAAAAGAAAAAAAAAAAAACAATTTCGCTTATAGTAAAGGATCTCAAAAGCACCTTCTTTATTAAAAGAACGTGCAGAATTAAAATCCCAACTCCCCCTCCTGTCTTATGTGTCCTTCCAAGACAATGACAAGTTTCATCACTAAGAGGAACTCATTTAAAGAGTCACAGTCCTCAAGTTTGTCACAGGAAAACACGTGTCATGGACCCCCTGTTCAAAATAAATAAGAGGACTGAAAGGCTCATTCAATGTTTTGGGAATTGGAAAACACTTACACACCTTTGCAAACAGTCCAGGACAGCAAATGCTCTCTTCACCTCTCTGACATCGAGGTCCCCTTTCATCACAAATGCACGCACGCACACACATACACACACACACACACATCCTACCAACCTGGCTACCTGGCTACTGCCTCGGACACGGGCCGGGGCCCGGCGGCGCAGGGACCGGCTTCGGAACCTGCGCCCACAGCCTCTCAGACACCAAAGCCCAAGCCGGCTGATTCCTTCCCCGGCGACTCCCGCGACCCCTGGGCCACATAAGCCAGCTCGCGCCCCGACTCACCCTCTGCAGCTTCTCCAGGACCAGCCCCAAGTACTGCTGGGGGGCCGTCCCGGGCCCCTCCATGGCGCCAAGGCCACCTGGCAGTCGCGGCCGCAGCCAGGGCTCGGCCGGGCCCCGACGATCGCCGGAGAGCACGCAGCGTTCGGTCCGGAACTCACAGCCGCGTCGTCCCCTGGAGCGCACCACTGCGGAGCCGGCTGCAGGGGGGTTCGCGCGGAACCGGCGTCCCACGGCCCGCGGGGTCCGCGCTGCCCGCCCGGGGAGCCTCGGCCCGCGGGTTAGGCTTTACGTCCCAAGACTCTGCCCGCCCCAGCGCGCCCCGCAGAAGCCCGAAGCGCGCCCGCTCCCCGCCGTCACACCCCCGGGTTTGGTTTCGGCCAGGCGGGGGCGGGGCGGCGCGCAGCTCCCCGCCCATCCCGCGCCAGCTCCGCAGACGTGTCGCGGCCGTTCGCTCTTAAAGGGGCCGCGCTTTGCCTGACGGAGTCACCCGCCCTGAAAGTCGCGCGGCGGGCGGCTGAGACCCAGGAATTTGGCGTCAGGCTTTGCGCTGTAGCGGGAAGCGCGAACCCCGCAAGACCAGGGCCGTGACCCCGGATGGTCGCGGCGGCGGGAAGGCTGCTCCTGGAGGCCCTTCGGCCCTGGAGCGGGCGCCAGGTCCTGCCTCAAACCCCAGAGGTTTTCCCTCTCAGCCCCGCTGGCGCCTGCAGCTCTGTCCCCCGCTAGCTCCGCGGGCGCCGTACCCCGGGAGGCCCAGCCCGCTCCGGAAAACCGGCCTCCACCGTCACTGCTGTGTGGAAATGGCCTGCAGAGCCCGCGCTGGTGCGTCCTGCCAAAAATGTCCAGACTTTGCACTGGAAAGCCTCTCGGGTCAGCTGTGCGCAGGCCAAAGTTCAGTGCTCCAGGCGAGAGAACAGGAGTCCAGTCACCTCAGGAGAACGGAGGGTTCGAGGGCTTTACTCACTTTGACCGGAGATATCTGGGCACGGGCTGGGCTGAACGGTCTTAAACCCCTTCAGCGCTTAGGTAATCTGCCTTCAGCCCTCTGAGCCTTCGCTGGGTGCCTGCTTTCTCTTCTGGGCCCAGGAGCTAAAAGTAGCATTTGCTCTCTAAATTTAGGACCCTATCTTTAGTTCCGTTGAATCAAGTCCTGAGACGGTTTTAGCTGACCTAGGTGTAATGGATAAGCCTTCTCTGGCCTTTCTTGCCAGCCTAAGGACCGTTCTCACCCAATTGGGCCTTCGAAGTCAAGTCCTCAGTGAAGCAACGCAGAAGGGAGCACATAGCATCTTCCTCAGCAGATCAGCCAAGAGAACGCAACAGGTGAACAAAATATAAGTTCTTGGGAAATTTTCTTCATGTGAGTTCTAGCAACAACATAACTGTTGTGCCAAAAAGAATTTTAAGGAAATAGCCCAAGTTCACAGCAGGTGGTTGTTAGGACCAAAATGTTTTCAGAACTCATATTTGCCACATCTGCCTAAGAGTTTCAGGAACTCTCAGTTACAGAAATTGCATAAAAAGTCCCCTTTTTTACAACCTTCATATGAGGTAGTGTGCTGAAATTAAATTTGGTGAATAGTTGAAAGTCAAACAGAAGCAGAACCAAAATTTTGTCTTTAGAATGTCAAAGACTGAGGACAAACTGTGTCTCAGTTGGAACACTGGATTACTGGATTAAAATTCTGAAGTCTAAACATTTTCAGAAAGCTCCTTCAGGACCTATTGTTTATAACCTAAAACGTTTTAAGAAAACAAAAACAAAAATATACACCCCCTTTGCCCTCCCAAGCAAGTCCTTGCCCTTTTCAGTTATTCAAAATCACCATTCCAAATATTAAAAACATAGATTAGGGAGAAAAGAACAAATGAACAAATGAAGTTTTAAAAAAGAAAAACCTTAAAATTTTCCCTGTAGCAAAACACAGTAAAACTTCAACTCAGTGCCAAATTCAAACTTAGTTTCTATACACACAACAGTCAAATAGAAACTTACCTCTTCCTCTAGATCTTTCAATTTTTTATAAGTTAAAATATCCCAGAATATGAAAACAAAGCTCTACTAAATACTTCATATCCTTGAGAAAGATTTCAGATTGTAATATATCCTGCACTCTTTCCACATTGATTGTGATCCTGTTTTGACAGTTGTGTGGTAAAGGGGTGCTCTAGGTGGAGTTGTGACTACCAACTCATAAAGCCATTTCATGGACACCACTCCTTATTAAATATATATAAACTCCTTAATGTTATACTTATTACTACCCTCTAACATCTACAGTGGAAATGAAAAATTCTGATTTGGGAACTTGATTAAATTGTTTAATTCTCTAGTTTGCTCATCAGAGTATATGATTTTTACCATGTAAAAGATAAACAAAGGTTGTTCCTCACTTTTGCAATATGCCTACTTTTAAATGAAATGGAGAACAAATATTGTTTAGTGTTGATGACAGATACTAGAAAGTATCTCAGAACATTGGAAACATACTAACCAGGTAACCCTGTCCACACTTAGGACTCTATTTCCCTTATGAAGGGCCCCATTGCAAAGCTGTAAGTAATAGTTACTCCCATTTAATTAAACAGGCAATGACAGCCCATCAAATCTAGTCCTTTGGAAGAAAATCAAACATGCTGAGCCACATTTACATTCTCTGTACTAGTGATGTAATAGTTCTCAGAAAATACTGAATCAAGAACTACCTGTTGAACAAGAGCTGGGTAATTTCCATTGTTTATTCAACATATAAATGAAACATTCTAGTTAAGAATATATAAATGGTAGAACTGAAAGACCCTCCTCACTTATAAAATAAAATTAGATTAAAAGTGGCCTGATTCCTATTACTTGAATAATTCAAAGAAATTATATTCTGTACAAAATCTAACTGAAATTACCCAAATAAAAATCACCTGCTACATTTGGGCAAGTATAAAAGGAAATGTTTTTAACCTAAATTTAACTGGAAAACTTAAATTTTCCATTCACTGGTTATTCAGAACTACATTATGGGTGCTATGCGCTAAGATTGTAGAATTCTAGATCTGTCAGGAACTCTTCAGAACTTGTAGTCCAAGCATTATGAACTTTAAGCCCTGTAGAGGCCAGGTTAAAATAAATGTAGGGAATTGAAAAGTTAGGGTCTGGGCCTCCCCAGTGGCGCAGCGGTTGAGCGCTGGGTTGCGAAGCTGCGCAGCCTCTTTAGCGCGGGTTCAATCCCCCGCTGCTCCCGGGCCACCAGAGGAGGGTCCCACATGGCGCGCAGATCTCTCCTGCCGCCCGCTGCTCCCCTCAGCAGTGTACTTTGGTCCTTCTGCCTGCTCTGCTCCCCGCTCTGACTCTGGTGAGTTCTCTCATCCTCCCGCGCTTCTGACTGTACCCAGTGCTTGTATAAATAAATAAATAAATAAATCTTAAAAAAAAAAAAAGTGAGGGTCTTTGAAATGCAAGTACTATGCAGTTTGAGCTTCTTGTCACCATAGGAGAATGGAAGACTGTATATTAGTTTTCTACTTTACAGAAGAACTCAGAGATACAGATTTTTATATGAATTTACCTTATAAAAATGTTGTCAACGAGTGCATAAATTAATTTTAAACAATGCACAAGTCAGGTTCAATTAACAACCTGTCATCTCAGCTTTTAATACTTGAATTTTAAACCTGAGACCCCCCCAAGAGAATGAGTTTACAAAGTTATTTATTTACACAAAAAATAAGCACACTTAGCATATCTATATTAAATATTTTTATATAGAGGTGAATATGGAATACTGATTAATAATTTTTTTTTAACTGAGTCACTTCACTGGTATTATTTGTGCGGGAGGGGAATGACAGATGAGGTATATCAGTCAGCCATAGCAATAAGGAGAATTAATTCCATGGGGAGTTGAAAGTTTTTTTATGACTAATTTTGTAATCATCAGTATTACTAATTAGTCTATGCCCCGCAAGAACAGATTTCTCAGTAAAGTTTTCAATCAATATCTTCAAGACCACATAATACAGGCTAAATTAATCACTGATCTGGGTTCATTTGCCAGGCATCCCCTTTGGAATAGAGCAAAGAAATAAAATGAGAGGAGGCCTCTGAAAGCAAGATGATATATGTTATTAAGCCAATTTTCAAAAAGACATCACAATCAGCAGCACCACAATCTACCTGTTCACCTTAGGTAGAAACCTGGTAAGTTATCTTCACTGTTCCATTTTCTCCGTGCAACATTTAATCAATAATTAAATCCAATGAGTTCTATCTACAGAAGATCCATCAAGTTTGTGCTTCCTATCATTTTAACAGTCACCATTGAATATTAGGCCAAAGGTTTAAAAAAGTAGTGAGCCAAACTCAATCCACAAAACATTTTATCTGACCTGCATGTTTTTTTAAAAAGATATTCATTTGACAGCATACCTCTTTTTTGGGAGGGATTATTTATTTATTTTAGATTTATTTATTTATACAAGCACTGGTACAGTCAGAAGTGCGGGAGGGTGAGAGAATTCACCAGAGCCAGAGCGGGGAGCAGAACAGGCAGAAGGACCCAAGTACACTGCTGAGGGGAGCAGCGGGCGGCAGGAGAGGTCTGCACGCCATGTGGGACCCTCACCCAGCGGCGGGGGATAGAACTGGCGCTGTGGAGGCTTCGGGCAGCTTCGCAACCCCGCACTCAACAGCTGCGCCACCGGGGAGGCCCAGACAGCATACGTCTTTTAGACAAACCATATCTCCAGTTGACTACAGTTATTACCGCTACCTCTTTTCATCCAGTTTGTAAACCCTGATGTGGACTTTCAGCATTTATTTTCTAAACTAAAGCAATAACTTTTGACTGGGCTTCCTGCCTCTGGCTTAACTCATTCAATTCGCATTTGACAATGTTGACAGATCAACTTTATAAATGAAACTTTTTCATTTTACTCTTCTTAAAATTCTCCAGTAATGCCCTGACCATCTACAAGATAAAAATTCAACTTCCTATGGTAACATACAAAGCTATTCTTTATTCAAGCCCTTTATCTATCTTCAGTCTCACCCTATATTAATTCAGAGTGAATTGTTGCTGGTCTCCCAAAATGTCATGATCTCTCCCACCTCTGTGTTTGTCTTTCTTCTCAAACTAGAATGCTCATCCTTTCTTTGTCTGGCTAACTTCCACACTTTCTTCAAAATCAGCTCAAGTATAATCTCCTGTGAGACACTTTCCCAGTCTGCTCTTCCTGACCCTCACTACCTACCACTTCCAGGCAGCTCCTCCTGCTTATTAGTGGCATCCTATGATTATTATAGCTCTGAATTAGGATTATTGCTTGTCTTACTGTGGCCTCCAACTAGAGTAAGCTCTTTGAAGGCAACCATTATAAAATTTCATCCAAAATAGATAAGAATAGATGTACTTCCCAATTATTGTATGAAAGGAGTAAATGAGAAAAGGAACTATTTTTTTGTTGTTGAAGATCTCCTGTGTGTCAAGTACTACAGCTAGGTGCTTTAGCAGTTTTCAGTGTTTCATTTACAATCTATGAGGCAGGATGTGGTAAGATTTATAGTAAGTGAAAAAGTGAATAGAGTTTAGAGTTTTAGTTACGATTTGGTTAAGTTTTGAGGTATTAGTCGCTTTTGTAAGGGTCTCACATTATGCCATTTTGAGGTAATAGTTTGCATTCAGATATAAATAACTTGTTACACTCATTTTTATTCATAAAACTTCCAAACTAACTCATTTAGTATAATTTTCCCTGATTTGGAAAAATAATTGTAAAGAAACCAATGGTGATGATCAAGAAATCTTAAAGGTTAAAAAAAAAACTCCTTAACGTCACTGCAACTAAACATTCATGGAAAGAGAAATCTTACATTTACGATTTTATGGGGAAAAAAAATTATGTAATGTTTACATAAGAAAGATTCATTCAAACATAAATTTCAACTGTTCCTATAGTGAAATTATTGCAAAAATTTGAAAGGCCTACTTACCTTTTCTGCCAGAATTAAAATTAGTGAAAATGCAGAGTTCATGTAATCATAAACATCCCATTGAAATAAATACTTCAGAATCTGATACTCGGAAGCGTCTTCTGTTGATTCATAAATAAAAATATGATGTAACTTTTGTATCTAATTTCTTCTTTAATTTCTAAATTAGAAAAAAATTACTTGCTTCTTACCTTTTTGAGCAATGTAGTTTTGAGAAGACAAAGAGTCATCACCTGAAAACATCTGATTGCTTAGCAAGTTATTTTCCATAGATCTGTCATTTTCCACTTGAGTAGATGCTTCAGTATACACTGATGTTTTTGATATTTCACCATGATTTTTAGAAGGATTTTTGAAATGTGCTTCTTCATGAACTCTATTAGGTAATTCTATATCAGAGCCTGTACCTGCAAATTAATAAAGAGAATTGTTTTTTTCTTTTTCGAAAACTTGACTTATTGTGGGTTTCCCTTTTGTTTTCTAGGCAGGTCATTCTTGGAATCTTTGTGGTCATTGTGACTTCACTAGGGAAAGAATTCACTAAAACATAGTAATTATAGCTTGATATAAAAATTACCCCACACTTAATGGTTTAAACAATACATTCTCTCAGACTTCTGAAGATCTGAAATCAAGGTATCAACAGGTCCATTTTCTTTCTGAAGTCTATAATGGAAAATCAATTCCCTTGCCTTTTCTACTTTCTGGGGGCCACCTGCTCTTGACCCCACCTCTTAGCTTCAAAACCAGCAGTGCTCATTCTCTCTCTTTCTCTCTCTCTCTCTCTCTCTCTCTCTCTCTCTCTCTCTCTCAATGGCTCTCCTGCCTTCCTTTTATAAGAAACCTTGTGATTATATTGCACCTACCAGGATAATCACTAATTCTAATATCAGGATGCTTAACTTAATCACATATCACATCTGCAAGGTCCTTTTCTGCATTGTGATGTAACATATTCACAAACTGGGGATTAAGACATGGCATCTTGGGCCTCCCTAGTGGCACAGAGGTTCAAGCCTCAGCCCTATCAAGCTATCACCAGCCACTGTGACATGCGTTCAATACCTGGCCAGGGAAGCTAGCCTATGTGGCACAGCAAACCTCTCATTTCACCCGCTACTCCCCTCAGCAGTGTATTTCTGCAGATCTTCCTGTTTTCTTCCCCTCTCTGTCTCTGGTGAATCCTCTCATCCCTACACCTCTGGCCTACACCCCAGTTCTTGTACGCATAAAATAAATAAAAATAAATCTTAAAAAAAAAAAAAAAAAAGACGAGCCTCCCTGGTGGTGCAGGCAGTTGAGTGCAACACTGTGAATCTGTCTGTCTATCTGCAGCCTCTGCAGCACAGGTTCAATCCCCGCCAGCCGAGGAGATACCCACATGGCACTGCAGACCTCTCCTGTCTCACCCACTGCTCCCCTCAGCAGTGTATTTCAGTCAGTCTGCCTATTCTGTTTCCCTCATTGGCTCTGGTGAATCCTCTTGCCCTCCCGCATATCTGGCTTGTACCCCAGTTATTGTATAAATAAATAAATCTTAAAAAAAAACACATGGCATCTTTAAGAGAACATTATTCAATTTACCACATAGCCTTTCCCTATTCCTTGGTCTGGGGAGAATTTTAAAAACTGTTTACAATTCTGGTCTCAATATTCCTTTTCTTCCCTTAATACCACCTGGGAAGCCCCTCCCCGCACCTCACACTCACTCATCCTCGCTCAAACTTTTAATGAGGTTGCTCCAAAGTTGGAATTACCCACTACTAAAGAACCTATGTTAGCCATAGTTAGGATGTGTACTAACTTAGGATATGTAAAACAAATTTATAAACTATGAGGTTCCAATTAAATATCAAATACTGTACTTTTTCTACTTTCCCTCAATTTCAACATCCAAGCTTTTTTCCCCCTTCATCCTATGTATTTTATATTATTATATAGTGTAGTGTAGTGTAGTGTAGTGTAGAATAGTACACACTGAGCATATTAAACAAAATAATGAGTGAATAGAAACTTTTTAAGAACCCAAATTAGATGCATTCTTTGTAGCAAGTGAAAATTTCAGAGGAAGATATGATTGAGAGCAATTCTTATTGGTTATCACTTACAGAATACTCTAGATTTAAAAGCACATCATGTTATTTGCTAATTTACTTCAGTGTGTTATGTAAGACAAATATAGTTAATGTAAGTCCAAAATACTTTCTTGACACATGATTTAAATTGTTTTAGGAATTATCCACTTATTTTAGAAATGTCAAGGTTGATAGCAATTAAACATTATGTGTGTTTGTATTAGCTTGGTAGAGAGAAAATACTATTATAAATACAATAATAACTGCAAGATGTTTTCATCCAACTGTTAACAAAATATGTGCTGCAATAAGCATACACTAATTTATCCTTTTTTATTCAGACCCAATAGTAGCATAAAACTGTACTAAGAAATCATGTTAAAATCAATATTAAATTGTATTTTGCATTTCATTTCTATACTATGAATGTGTCTGGCAAAGGCAAAGCTTCACATGAGAGTAATGTTTCCCTAACTTGGTGATCTCGTGAAATTCATATATTACTTCAATAAGATATGAATATCACAAATTATTGAAAGAGAACTGAAGAAATCGTAAATCTTAGCACTGCTTTATTAAGAAGTCAGGTAAATCTACACTGTCAGACCAACTGTAATATTATCCAACTGACAATATGATCGTGACTTTAGGGAAAATTTAAGTTTTTTTTTTAAGATTTATTTATTTATGCATACAAGAGCTGGGGTACAGGCCAGAGGTGTGGGGAGTGAGAGTATTCACCAGAGACAGAGTGGGGAACAGAACAGGCAGATTGACCGAAGTACGCTGCTGAGGGGAGCAGCCGGCGAGTCAGGAGAGGTCTGCTGCGCCATGTGGGTTTCTCCCTGGCCGTCTGGGGGATGGAACTCTTGCTGCAGTGGCTGTGGAAGCTTCATAGATTGCATCTTAACCCCTTGAGCCACCAGGGAGGCCCCAAAGAAATGGAAAATTTAAGTTTTATTTTGCATTTCAATGAAACAGTGCTGGTAGGGGTTTAAATAAAATACTCCTCATTTTTTTTTGCTTTTATACTACATGTTAAATATTTAAATGATTAATACATTTAAATAACATACCTGCATTCAAATCTGGAATAGCAATATTTATGTACATTTCTTAGTAACTTTCACTTAAAATGATCACTTTCCAAAACTAATTTATACATTTTTATTTGACATGTATGGCAAGATTTGTACATTTATATAATGTTGCACCATATGTTATGCACATGCCATGTCAAATGCCATCAATTTTTTAAGACAATTCAATTCTCAAACATAGTTTAAACTGTTTGCTTGATTGAATGAATGAATCAGTTTTTTTAAAGTTCTAACTAGTTCTATATTAAATGAACTATTCGAACAGTTTTTTAAAAGTTCTAACTAAACTATATTACTCAAGTAAAATGTGGAAATTGTTTCTCAGTTACTCTTTAAAACAAGAATATAAATATATCGGTTCAGTCCTAAAAAACAGTATTAAAAAGTAGTAAATGGATTATTTAAGGTCTAATTGTGCTTTAGAGCTATAAATTTAACACAGCACTTTGATGATGTCATTTATTTAGCGTTTTCTAAAAGCCTCAAGTGAGCCAAAACACACAATGCCATGGGAGGATGTTAAAATTAAAAATGAGCAATCAACTCAAGAGTCTGAATACAATGGGACTGTTGTAAATACAGTGCTCAAATATTAATCTAGAATAATTTTTAATGGCATTGGGGAAAAACAGCTTATTCAATAATAACACTCAAATTTACATGTGGCTAGATTGATTTTTTAAATATGTTTTAAACTGCATTAAATGAACATATAAGAAAATTAAACCCTTTCTATAGTAATTTCATATTTAACTTGCTCTGAGATATTATTTTCATAAAACTTATACCTACACTTTCATAAGACTTATACCTACACTTTCATAAGACTTATACCTACACTTATACCTACTCTTTAAGATACCTACACTTTAAGACTTACACCTACACTTATACCTACAATTATAATTACTTATAATTGTTTTAAAGTCAAATAAAATAATGAGTAATTGTTCATATTTAAGTGTACTTGGGAAACTAAAGAAGTTCAATTGTAGTTTTTTTGTAAAATAGATATTAGTATTATAAGTAATTATTCCCTAATTTATCTCTTTTGTAAATTATTTTCTCAGTATATTAGTTTTTCTCTAATTTTCGTTAGCTCAAGTCTCAGTCTTTCATAAATATTGCTTCAAAATCAGTGATTCAGGGGCCTCCCTTGTGCCCTAGAGGTTGAGTCACCATGATGGCCCACCATGGTGGCCTGAGTTTAGTCCCCAGCCAGGGAGCTAACCCATATATGGCGCAGCAGACCTCTCCTGTAAAGAAGTAAAGGAGAAAGAGGGACCCTGATGAACTGTGGTAGAAGATTATGGATGCCATGGTGATGGGTGTGGTGTGGTTACACAGCTGAAGAGCTGTGAACCTATTTCTCTAAGTCATATACAGTGTTGTAAAGCAACATTGCCTCAAAACAAAAGTGCAAAAAGAAAAGAAGCTATATGTTGAGGATCTTGATCAAGCAAAGAGCTCATGTTTTGGAAAAGGCTAAGAAATCACATATAATGTTTTGGAAATTAAAAAAATCCACTCGTTCTAACAGAAATGCACTTTCTTCTGAAATTCCAACACAGTTCATCTTTTCTTATGTGAAAGGTTTTTTGTCATTCTAGGATTCAATTGTTTCTGTATTATTAGACAATATTTACTGAGTTTCTAATCTGTCCTCATAGAGACATCAGAATGAAGATGTGAGAGTCCTATTATGTAATTCCTTACTTAAATACAATCTACTTGTTTTTAATCATAGGACTTGCTAGATACCTAGACATCTGCATCTAGAAGTGTCCTCTGATACTCTATTCTCATCTGTTTCCCTCACTTGAGTTCCCAGAATTGAGATACTTGAGGGAGAAAGTTGAAAACTTTTTATCTTACTTTTGCTGAAGTTTCTCTATTACTTTATATACTTAGAATCTTTGTATCATAGTTTTTCTTTGGGGGAAAAAAACTGCAGATCTAGGAAAAATTTTCCTTAGGATTATTGAATTGTTTTGAATTATTAAATGTTCCTCAACTTAGATGTCTTTAAAAATCATTCAAATAAAGTTATATTGGAAAGGTATCTATAAACTAAACCATGAGTGTAAATGAGCAAAAATCTTCATCTACCAAAATGGGAAGTCAATGGACTTTGTCTAAAATAGAATAATCAAAGCAGAACAATATGAAGATTTTATTTAGAAAATGAAGGTAAATACTAAAAGAAATTTGCCTTGAAATTAATAAGTTTTTGTCTCTGGGACAGAGTTGGGAGTAGAGATGGGTGGGGGGTGGCTGGGAGCTAGGGCATAAATTCTTTTGTTAAAAAAAGTTTTAGCTCTATTTAAATCTTTTGACCTGTTTACATATAATACTTTGATAAGAATAAAATTTATTGTAAAATACCTTAAGAACTTATGATGGGCCTCCCTGGTGGCGCAGGCGGTTGAACGCAGTGCTATGAAGCTGTCCGCAGCCTCAGCAGTGCCGGTTTGCTCCCCGCTGGCCTCAGAGCAACCCACATGGCGAGCAAACCTCTCCTGTCTCGCCTGCTGCTCCCCTCAGCAGTGTATTTCATCAGTCTGCCTGTTCTGTTCCCCACTCTGGCTCTGGTGAATCCTCTCACCCTCCGCGCATCTGGCCTGCATCCCCAGCTCTTGTATAAATTAAAAAAAAAATCTTAAAAAAAAAAAGATCTTGGGCCTCCCCAGTGGCGCAGCGGTTGAGCTGGGTTGTGAAGCTGCCCGCAGCTTCTGCAGCACCGGTTCAATCCCCAGCTGCTCCCCGGCCACCGGAAGAGGATCCCACATGGCGCGCAGACCTCTCCTGCCGCCCGCTGCTCCCCTCAGCAGTGTACTTCGGTCCTTCTGCCTGCTCTGCTACCCACTCTGGCTCTGGTGAATTCTCTCACCCTCCCGAGCTTCTGACTGTACCCAGTGCTTGCATAAATAAATAAATAAAATCTTAAAAAAAAAATCTTCTGTGGATATCATTACATCTCCAATCATTCTTTTCTCCTTAGGATTTTATTTTTGAATGTTAAGATCTCTGCTCCAGAGTAAACCAGAAATTGATAAAAGTAAGGTTGATAATGTTGATTATTGAGTAATTTGAAAAGCATAGATTCCTGGAATTTTTCATCTGACTAGTACTTATAAAAATAAATTATGTTTGGGCTTCCGTGGTGGCACAGGGGTTAAGTCTCAGCCCTATCAAGCTATCACCAGCCACTGCGGCATGAGTTCAATCCCTGGGCAGGGAGCTAACCCATATGTCATAGCAGACCTCTCGTCTCCCACACTACTCCCCTCAGCAGTGTATTTCAGTAGATCCACCTGTTCTGTTTCCTACTCTGTCTCTGCTGAATCCTCTCACTCCCTGCAACTCTGGCCTACACCCCAGTTCTTCTATGCATAAATAAATAAAAATAACTTTTAAAACATAAATAATTTTCAAAAATTAATTATATTTAGATATTTTTATACCAACCTGACTTACTGTATCTGCTTTTTAGCATCATAATTTTCTTATCATCTGTGGGATAACTTTCAGCTGAAAATAATTCTGTTTCATCATTTTCAGCTACATTATTTTCATCTGGTACGTGTTCAGAAAATGGTAATTCTGCTTTCTTGGGAGTGTTCTGGAAGTTCCAAGGGTTGTCAAAATTATTCAAGAACTTTTGAAAATATGGTAAGGTAACAGAATCATCTATTTTCTCTAAAACATTTTCTTTGCCTACTTGATCTTCAGTTTCCATAGTTTTTGTTATTTTTATCCCTTGTTCCTTATCAAGGTCAAATTCACTTATTGGAGGATGTTCATGTTTGTCTCCTTCACCTCCTTCTTTTCTTTCATCATCTGATTTAATTTTATCTTCATTGGCATATGCAAGACTTAGCACACCAAAACCAAAATCAAACCAATTTGGAATGAAAATTGAGCTGCCATTAGTGATTGTGTCTTCTTTTTCTGTTAATGTTTCTGTACATGGAACTGTAGGTTCTTCATCAGAAGATACAGAATTAGGAACATCTGGTGGTGTTAGATTGCTTTCTTGGGACAACAATTCAAGCTCTGTATCCTCCCCTCCAAAACCTAAATAACTTGTAAATCCACCGCCAAACCAACCAGTGGCTTGAGTTTTGTGAATGTGCTCTGATTCAGATACTAATTCAGGCTGTTTCTGTGGCATTGAATGAGATTCTGATTCAGGTTTTTGCTTATGTTCTGTTTGGGGCTCATCATCATTTAATTCCTCTAGATAATTCTCATCTTCCATTGCTATTTTTCTACTTTGAAATGAGTTTTCATGTAGAGATTCAGTAACTGATTCAAAAGTCTGCTCTTCAGCTTGTTCCATTCCAAATCCAAACCATCCTGTCACTTCAGGCATAGCTGAAGATGGTGGGTTGTGATCCACCTCTGGAATGGGATCATGTGCTATACTTCCTGCTTCTACTTCTTCCCAGTCTTTTGATTTACTGGTAATTTTGACATCTTCCGGAGCCTCTGATGTTGGAAACTGGTGTTCAAACAAAGTACTTTCAGAAATTGAATAAAATCCAGATTCAATCTGAAAATCACTTGCATAAGCACTAGATATTTGTTCTTTATCTTCTTCATAGGAATATATATTTTCACCGTTGTCACTATCTAATTCACTGTTTTCATTTTCAAATGTGTAGCTTTCTTCAAGAAGACAAAAAAAGTCAGATTCCTGAAAAGAAAAAAATTATGAGTGACATAAATATACTAAAACTCCTTGTTTTTCCCTGAATAATTATAGATGGATGACTATGCTGACCACATGACAGCAGAGTAAAAGCTCTAAAATCACATCTCCTAATCTCAAATACATTTATCACAACTGACTTTCTCATGGTTAAGGATATAAATCTAAATGAAAATCTTTTTTATATTATAACTTATTTATCATGAAATAGTTGAAAAAATTGAGAAGCAGAAACAATCAAGACTTTAAGTACATTCTGCAAATAAACTGATGAAAACACATACCTACCCACAAAATCTTGCTCCTCCTGAGAGTACATTGAATGGACATATGCAATTGTGTGGTGACTGAGGAAAGAAAATTTCACAGTACATGGCCATAGCACAGATAGACTGGGATTAAAGCATGAACCTACTTTAAAGCAATACTAAGACATTTAGACTTCTTTTATTACAATATCACCTATAAGGGCCTCTCTGGTGGTGCAAGGATTTAAGTGTCAGCACTATGAAGCTATCAGCAGCCACTGCAGGACTAGTTCGATACCTGGCCAGGGAGGAGACCCACATAGGACAGCAGACCTCTCCTGTCTCACCCGCTGCTCCCCTTAGCAGTGTACTTCAGTCAATCTGCCTGTTCTGTTCCCCACTCTGTCTCTGGTAAATCCTCTCACTCCTGCATCTCTGGTCTGCACCCCAGCTCTTTTATGCATAAATAAATAAATCTTTAAAAATATATATATTGCCTATAGCTAATGGAGGTGGGGATCTTCTAGCTTATTTCATAGAATCAAATCATCAAGAAGAAAAATGGGGAAGCTATTTTTTTTTAAATCTGAAGGTATGAAACAGTGATATGTACTGGTCTTATGCACCATTTTGAAATGAAAATAACATTTATATTTTTAAAAAGTAAACCTCAGAATTATAATTTTGCAAATTACTTTTGATATTGCAATATATAGTGGTGATCACAGACCAACTCTAGAGCCAAATCTCTTGGGTTCAAATTCTGATATCATCATCTACTAGCTCTATGAACTAGGTGAATTATAGGAATTGCTTTATATTATATTATATGCTTCAGTCTGTTCAATTGTAAAATGAGGGTAATAACAGTACTTAACTTACAGGGATTTTATAAGAATTAAATGAGTCAATTACTTAGGATAGTAACTGCCTCTAGGAAACACTAACCTAGCCCACAGTTAACACTATCACAAATGAGCCAGTGATACATGGGTAAAAAGCCCATCCTCTTGCACCTGTTTAGGACTCTGTTTTTTTTTTTTTTTTTTTTTTTTTTTTTTTTTTTTTTTTTTAAGATTTATTTATTTATACATGCACTGGGTACAGTCAGAAGCACGGGAGGGTGAGAGAATTCACCAGAGCCAGAGCAGGGAGCAGAGCAGGCAGAAGGACCGAAGGACACTGCTGAGGGGAGCAGCGGGCGGCAGGAGAGGTCTGCGCGCCATGTGGGACCCTCCTCCGGTGGCCGGGGAGCAGCCGGGGATCGAACCGGCGCTGCAGAGGCTGCGGGCAGCTTCGCAACCCAGCGCTCCACCGCTGCGCCACCGGGGAGGCCCTGTTTAGGACTCTGAAAGACCATCCTGGCTTCAGAGTTCCCTGTAGAATCAGCTGAGACTTTTCTTGCAAATGCATCACAGTTCAACTTCTCTCTCTCTGCCCGCTCTGTGTTTTCTTCTGTTCCATCCCAGGTGCTTTACCCAAGACTACCTTCCCAGATGCAAAGAGCTATCTCAGAGTCCATTTCCCAGGTGACTTGCTTCAAACATTTGGGATTTCTATATGCTCACTATATGCCCAACACTGTACTGGTTGCTACAGTAGACAATAGAAAAGAAAATAATTATAAATTATGATAAGTGCTCTGGAGGAAATAAATACTGCTAAGTATTTCTTTTCTTTAGAATCATCATAGCGATCTCCTCTGTGACATTGATGTTTATGCTGTGACCTAAAGGCTAAGAAGGAACTAGTGCATTGAGGAACTTGGGGAAAACATTCCAATGGAAGGAAACAGCTTTTTTGCATCCCTGGGCTGGGAAAGAGAATGGTATGTTCTAAGAACATGGTAGTGGGGCATGGAGCATAGTAAGAAGTGAGTGGCATAAAACAGGAAATGCAGGAACAGATCATGTTGAGCTGGGGTAAGGAGTCAGGACTTGCCTCCAGGCTCAATGAAAGGTTAATAAGGAACTGTAACCTAAAGGAATGACATGATTAATTTTTTTTTTTGGCTTTGTTTTTTTTTTGCCTTTATAAGATCCATTGTTTTGGGCCTCCCTTGCTGGCACAGCAGTTGATCGCGGGGCTGCGAAGCTGCCCGCAGCCTCTGCAGCGCCGGTTCCATCCCTGGCCGCCGGCGAGGGTCCCACATGGCGCGACAGACCTCTCCCACCGCGTCTTCTGATGGTCCCCTAAGCAGTGTCCTCGTCTGTCTGCCTATTCTGCTACCCGCTCTGGCTCTTGTGAATTCTCTCACCCTCCCGCGCTTCTGACTGTACCCAGTGTTTGTATAAATAAATAAATAAATCTTAAAATATATATATATATAAAAATCCATATTTTTTTTAAAAAATCCATTGTTTTTTGGAGAAAGGTTTGAAAGAGGGCAAAAGTAGAGGCAAGGAGACCAGTTACAAGATTATTGTAGTATTCTAATCAAGAGATGTCTTGTGTTATGAGGAAAGTGAAGAAAAGAAAATGTACTCCAAATATATTTTGGAGACAGAACTGACAGGACCAGTATTCATACAGTGAATGGACAATTGGTCCCAGAATTTGTGCTGGGAAACAGCCAGATAATAGTTTGCTTAACTAGGCACAGTTTTCACACTGACCTTGTTTCAGATAAATTGGCTTAACCTGGAATCTGAACTGGATGAGCTAATCAAATTTACATATTGAAAAGTCAGCTTCTGATACACTTTCTCGCTATCAAACACAACATTACCAACATAATCAAGCCTATTTAAAACTCTACTAGCACAATAGGTAGATATAATATGTAGAAAGTGTGATAGGAAATAAATGTCCCACTAGGACAACAATATTAGTAACAATACCTAATGGCTACATATACTTACTAAATGCTCGTCTATATAGTTTACACATGCTCATTTTTCCTCAATAAATTTACTAAGGGTCTCCCTGGTGGCATTAGGGGTTAAGTCTCAGCGCTATCACTTTATCACCATTGCAGCCTAAGTTGAATCCAGGCCAGAAAGCTAACCTGCATGGAGCAGCAAACCACTCCTGTCTCTCACCCACTGCTCCCCTTAGCAGGTATTTCAGTAGATTTGCCTGTTCTGCTCCTCACTCTGTCTCTGATGAATCCTCCCACCCCCACCCCTCCACCACACACCTCTGGCCTATGCCCCAGTTCTCCTATGCATAAAAATAAATAAATAAATCTTTTTGAAAAATTTAAAAAATATATTTATCAAGAAGTAGTACATTGGGCCTCCCCTGTGGCGCAGCGGTTGAGCGCTGGGCTGCGAAGCTGCCCGCAGCCTCTGTAGCTCCGGTTCAATCCCGGGCCACTAGCGAGGGTCCCACATGGTGCACAGACCTCTCTTGCCACGCCCGCTGCTCCCCTCAGCAGTGTACTTCAGTCTGCCTGCTCTGTTCTCCACTCTGACTCTGGTGAATTCTCTCACCCTCCCGCGCTTCTGACTGTACCCAGTGCTTGTATAAATAAATAAATATTAAAAAAAAAAAGTAGTACATAATAATAATTACCCCAATTTTACAGATTAAAAAATTAAGCTACATCAGGCCACAGAGCTACTAAGTAACTGAGTCAAACTTTAAACTCAGTCCACTTCTAGAGTCCATGATTTTAACCATTACACTTTACTACCTGTTTGTTAATTGTTTAGAAAGAAAAATCTCTGCCTGTCTCCAAATCTCTTACCTAATTTTATTCATATATTCAGACTATTCCTAAAGTTCTCAAACCAACTATTTTAGCCAAACAATTTTAAGGTCAGTTAATAACCATGTATGAGTTTACTCACTTTAGTTGATATTTTAACTTCCTCGGATATGAACACCTCTTCAATCTGTACTGCATCTCTGGGAAAATATCCAAAGTCCTTTCCTTTCTATCAAAATGAAGAAAAATGATTATCAAGGTAGAGTGATCAAAGAAATAATAACTATTATGTCTAATTTGCCCCATGTCTGGCATCTCTTTCAAATCACAAACATTAATTGACTTTCATTTGCCATATAAAAGAAAGTGAGTGAAATCATATTCTTCTTTTATTCAAAGGAACTACATTAATTTGAAGAAACAAAGAGCCAATCTTTAAAATTCTGCTTTTTCTGACTTCCCAGAGAAAACCATCCCACCTACTCACTTTCTTCCTTATTGTGTTCCTTAGAGACCTTCCCTGCCCAAATGGACAGCTGATTTATACTGGTAAACCTGGGATATCAGAAGACAAGGGGATGGTGACAGTAGCCATGGTAGATGGAGCTGTGACATGTTCAGCATTAGGCTGTCAAAATTGGGTAAGAAATTTAATTAAACTCTTCAGGGCTGAGTGGGTTCATCAAAATAGTAAATACCTATCGAGTCCTCCATGGAGGATTTAATTCTATTCAACTACCAAGCTACCAAGGACCTACCTTGGTAACACAGTTCCTCTTAATCCAGTTTACATGCAGGATGTCACCGAAGAGTGAGGGCTTCGCATAATCACTCTCAGCCCTTTTTCTCTCCCTGTTAAAATCTAAAGACTTACTTTGTTTGGTCCTTTGATCCAGCATCATTACACCTCAATTGTGATTCTGCCAGCTCTCCAGTTGCTATAACTATTTGGAAACTGACATGCTACAGGTGATCTTCACAAAGTTGTTCCTTAAGCAGCATGGACGAACCAAAACTAAGTGTGCTTGAATCTTTTCCCTAGCTTCAAACACTGACATTATATACTGCGGAACTATTATTTTCACACAAAGATAACAAGAGAGAATGTTTTCTTTCCCTCTTATGATATTACTGTGTCAGTTTTTGCATAGCTGCATTGGATGTTTACAATGCATTCAAGACACAGACAGGCTTGTTTGAGACACAATAAGCTGTAAGGAATCTTGGAAGTTGCAGCAGCCAGGCAAACAATTCTGGCCAGTAACAGTCAGAGGTTCGGTTATACAACCCCTGAGTGTAAAAAGAAGAATAGGTCCAGGATATCTGCTTCTTTAAATGGCCTTCACAAAGGATACACATGGAAAGATCTGTCCATAGACAATGTGCAAATGATAATGTTGGTCATACTTGCTCAACTTGGTAGTATAATTACTTACTATAACATCTTTTCATTATAAAATATAATGATACTATCAAAGTTACAAGCCTATTTTCAACTGAGAATATTGATCATTAATATTCCTATGTTATATATTCAGAGAGATGATTCAGGCTTGTAGGAGTTTCAGTGTAATAGGATTTTAGGCAAAATAAAATGCTCTCCCAATAGTTCTTTTTCCATGAAAAATTCATATACCTCATTTCATTAGACTTCTTTTTTTTTAAGATTTATTTATTTATGCGTATAAGAGCTGAGGTACAGGCCAGAGATGCTGGGGTGAGAGGATTCACCAGAGACAGAGCAGGTTACAGAACAGGCAGATTGACCAAGGTACACTGCTAAGAGGAGCAGCGGGCGAGTCAGGAGAGTTCTGCTGCGCCATGTGGGCTGCTCCCTGGCCTGCAGGGGATCGAACTTGTGCTGCAGAGGCTACAGACAGCTTCATAGGTTGCGTCTTAACCCTTTGCACCACTAGGGAGGCCCTCCTTAGACTTCTAATCTTTCTGAGAATCTCTTCAATAACAACTCAGTCCTTTGCTCAGAAAGACATGTCTTCTAATCTGATTAATTTAACTTCCCAATCTTTCTTAAACTTAGCACTGAGGGATAGCTAGGGTTGCCCAGTCATCCCATAGCCTTTACTGATGTCACTAAAGTCTCTCAAATTAAATATAAAATCTAAGCATACAATTTTAAAATAATTTCAAGGAATTCTTAGTACTCCATCCCAATTACACTGACTTCCCAAAAGTTACTTTTATAGAAATTCTGGAACTACCAGTGAACATGGCCATTTTGTTTGTTTAAAAATGTCTATGTGTACATCCATCTATCTATCTATCTATCCATCTATCTATCTATACATAAACATGTTTAAAGATATGTATATCTATATATAGCTTTGAAATTTTTAGATAGAGCTCTTTTAAAAATGGAAAGAAGGGGCCTCCCCGGTGGCGCAGCGGTTGGGCACTGGGTTGCGAAGCTGCCCGCGGCCTCTGCGGCGCCGGTTCGATCCCCGGCTGCTCCCGGGCCACAGGAGGAGGGTCCCACATGGCGCGCAGACCTCTCCTGCCTGCGCCCGCTGCTCCCCTCAGCAGTGTACTTCGGTCCTTATGCCTGCTCTGCTCCCCGCTCTAGCTCTGGTGAATTCTCTCACCCTCCCGCGCTTCTGAATGTACCCAGTGCATGTGTAAACAAAACAAACAAATAAATAAATAAATAAAAACATGCCTCTATTAAAAAAAATAAATAAAAAAAAAAAATGGAAAGAAGGTCCTCCCTGGTGGCACAGGAGTTAAAGTCTCAGCACTATCAAGCAATCGCCAGCCACTGTGGCATGAATTCGATCCCCAGCCAGGGAGCTGACCCACATGGTGCAGCAGACCTCTCCTGTCTTGCCTGCTGCACCCCTCAGCAGTGTATTTCAGTAGATGTGCCTGTTCAGTGAATCCTCTGTCTCTGTTGAATCCTCTCACCACCACCCCCAACTCTGGCCTATACCCCAGTTCTAGTATGCATAAATAAATAAAAACAAATCTTAAAAAAAAATGGAGCGACTCCCTTGGTGGTGCAGGTGGTTGAGCACCACGCTATGAATCAGTCCGCAGCCTCAGCAGCACCTGTTCATTCCCGGCCGCCGGATGAGGGTCCCAAATGGCATGGCAGACCTCTCCTGTTGCTCCCACTGCTCCCCTCAGCAGTGTATTTCATCAGTCTGCCTGTTCTGTTCTCCGCTCTGTCTCTGGTGAATCCTCTCACCTTCCCGCACATCTGGCCTGTACCCTGGTTCTTGTATAAATAAATAAAAAGTAAATCTTAAAAAAAAAAAAAAGGAAAGCAGGTATCCTTGTACAAGCTGGTCATTTATTCTGCTTTCAGTTTTTAGGATTAGATACTTACACTTCCTGCCCACAAATCTTCTCTTTCTCCTGCAAGTTTAACATAAACAGATATCTCTTCTCCCTTGGTGAAGTTCAGGAATCTGCAGTCAGTTCCTCTGTAATCTCTTATGGCCAAGACTCTGCTTATTAAAGCTAGGTAGACATGTAAAAAAAAGAAACACATTTTAAATTACAATCTTATTTCTCCTCCATCTATTTTGCCCTTCTCCAGCCCAGTCTATGTATTTCCAAATGCTAACTTCTTCATATAATTTATGGCTTCAAAAACTTACATATACTTCTAACTGCACACAAATCAATTCTGAACTCTTTGGCTTGGTATCTAAGACTGTCCATAACCTCGTCCCCCTTCCCTATTTAAAAAGATTTCCGGGGCTTCCCTGGTGGCACAGGGGTTAAAGACATTGCTGCAAGCTGTTGCCAGCCATTGCAACAAGAGTTCGATCCCCAGCCAGCCAGGGAGCAAGCCAGATGACACAGCAGACCTCCCCTGTCTTGCCCGCTGCTTCCCTCAGCATGTATTTCAGTGCATCTGCCTGTTCTGCTCCCCACTCTCTCTGGTGAATCATCACACACACACACACACACACACACACACACACACACACACACATACACACACACACACATACACACACCCCTCCCTGCCCCCGCACCTCTGGCTTAAGCCCCAGTTACTGTATGCATAAATAAATAAATCTTTAAAAAATTAAAAATAAAAAGATTTCCTCTAAAAAGACAAGGCCCATGGGCCAACTATTGATCCCTGTCTTGCAGCAAGGGAGGAGTGGGGGAGAGAGAAACGGGGGAGCTGGGTGATGGTACTTGAGTGAACTATTGATGGGAGTGCTGCATCTAAGCGAGGGCTGCACCTAAGGAGAGCAATGACTATAGAAAGATGACCCACGATGTAAGAAAATAAATATATTTTTAAAAAATAAAAAGACTTCCCCTCATTTCCTTATCGTCAAACTTTTTTATCCACTGTCCCTGAAATCTGACATTATCATTCTTCTGTCATCAGGGAAGGGAAGGAAAAGATAGTTTTCTTCCTGGGACCTAACTATATTCCAGGCATTATGATAAGCTCTTTCATAACTTTAGTTGATTAAATCCTCAAAACAGACCTTGGAGCTAAATAATCTCACCTCAATCTAACAAGTGAGTCTTTAAGTCTCAGAGAACTGGTCATATATCTGATAAATGGTGGAGCCAAATTTGCACTGAGGTTCTTTTCACTGCAACATCCGCCTTCTGTAATCTGAGCTTTTCCTTCTCCTAAGATTAGACACTTGTCTCTCTTCATGGTCAGATCAACCCTGTGTTCTCCAGGAGACTTCCCTAAAGGGTCCAACCTACTTTGCTCCTTTTCTAAACTTCAACATTACCAGTTATCCTTATGTTGCTTTGCTATTTACTATTTCATATTGCCCCGTACTCACCCGGTATTCACCATTCACCAGAATGAAAATTCCTGGAGGGCAAGAAACTTACCTGACACTTCATTTTATTCCCTTAGGTATACACCACCCACCCACGCGGGCCCAGCACATAACAGTCCCTCAATAACTATGAATGATTGTAACCACATATGCTAGATTTAACCCTTCACAATGCTTAAAGTAATATACAGACAATTAACTAAAACAATTATACTAACATGTTAAATATTTTAAGTCATGCAGTTAAAGTTAAAATAATTTACTATAAATTTGAATATGCCCTTTCCATGTTCTCTTCTTGGCCCTAAGAAAACTAATGAGGTTGTAAATATGAAAGAAAGATTTATTATTGTTGTAAATATCATCTAGTAAGCCTTCCCCTATATTAAATTACATACCCAAACGGTTAATGAAAATGTAGTAAGTAAAGATTTATTTACAACCCCCCAAATTAAACATTTTTTAAATAGTTATTATTATAAATTTATTTACAAATTATGGTTATCCTTATGATATTTTGTATTTTTAGTTTACATGTTACAAATCAGAAATAATTCTCATATACTATAAAGACAACTTACTTAAAGCATTTCTTAAAAATTGGGATGTAATTCACTTGCACTATAATGCTAATAACAGAAAATAAATTAAGTTCTTAAGCAATAAAATGAAAAATAATTTCTCCTTGTAGAAGATAGAGGAATTTTAATATTCAAGGATAGAAATAATTTTATGTACTCTTAATGCTGATTTCAGTTTTTTTCATATAATAAGTAAACACAGACATGACTAATATTTGATAAAGTTTAGACAGACTAAATTATGATGGCTTGAAATAAAAACATTTTTGAAGATTCATGAGAATCAGAAAGTGATGTTTGTGAAATGGAAACTAAAAGGCATAAGGGCTTCATAAATAAAGCTGAAATTGCTTGATACCTTTTAAATACAAATTGATTATATTTCTCTTAAAAAGTAGTAAAAGCACTGATTAGTTAGTTTTTGAGTAATGAATTTATATCTTTAAAATTTCTGATATATTATGTATCAGGTTAATCATTGGTCCTTTATATATTTACATTAAATACTATCATAAAATATTTTGCGTCTAGCTTTTCCTATTGATACTGAGCTATACTTTCTAACTTCAAATATTTCTCAATGGTATAAATTCGCATTTTTATCATGCAAGTCCACAACAACATTTTATGTCATTTCAGAGTAAGAGGAAAAAGAAGGAAAAAAAGTAAAGCAAACTTACTTTCACATTCCAAGTCACCACATTTTTTAAAGTCGGCCAGCAGTTTTGTGCCTTCCAGACACTTCATCAGCGAAACAACCAAAAGGAGGATCCTGTGAATCCCAAGCAATGCCATGCTAAAGCAAGCAGGAAACCCAAACAAGGTAAGCCAATTGTTTAGGCTGTAAATATTCAATCGAAATAGAAGATACCCTGCTCTCTTTACTAATTATAAGAGAAAAGGGTTTTATTACCTCTGTAACTACATTTTTCTGTATATAGAGCAGGGACAAACACTGTCTGTTCTCAATCTGCAGTGTCAGGTATCCAGATAATACTTAAGAGTTTAATAATTAACAGGGATTTTTAGTTGGACTTATGTCGTAATTAAGGTGGCCGGTGTGAAACAGTCTTGCTTAAAGGCACCTTGTATTCCACCAGACAATTCTTAAGCAAATCTTCACAAAAATCTCTTTCTGTTAAAGTCCTCAGGTAATCAGTCAGTAATTACAAACTAAGTATTTACTGCTTACAAAAATCAGTATCGGTAGAAAAATTACATAGTTTTATATAGAATCAGTAATAATTTATGTTAAAAGCATGGTTTTGAAATATTACTATGTGTTATTTGAAAAAATATCCCATTTTCATATGTTATAAATCTTCAGTGTTACTATAAAGTTGAAACATAGTGGGCTTCCAAGGTGGCTCAGGGGTTAAAGTCTCAGTGCTATCAAGCTATCCCCAGCCACTGTGGTATAAGTTAAGAGCCCCCAACTGGGAGCAAGCCACATTGCACAGCAGACCTCCCCTGTCTCCCTAACTGCTCCCCTCAGCAGTGTATTTCAGACAGTCCTCCTGTTCTGTTCCCCACTCTGTCTCTGGCGAATCCTTTCACCCCCCGCACCTCTGGCCTAGATCCCAGTTTTTCTGTGCATAAATAAGAAAATAAATCTTTTTTAAAAAAGGTGAAACATTTAATAATAGTTAAAATGTAGTAAGTACTAATTATATTCCAGGTATTATATTAAACATTTAAATATATGATCTGATTTAATGCTCACAACTTTCTAAGGTAGGTTGTTATTCCCATTTTTGCAGACAAGGAAACTGAGGTATATAGAGATGGGTTAAACCATTTGCCCAGTGTCACATAGTGAGTGGAGAAGAAATTTAAACATACACACTGTGATGTCCCCTGCCCTAACCTCTATGTTTTACCACTAAGAATCAAGTCATGGGCCACAGAAAAATGTCTACACCATCAGTATCAATACTCTCCCAGCAGTAGTAGGTACATTTTTATTACATGTATTTAAAATTGTATGCATATTTATTGGAAAGAGAATGAGATGTCTGAAAGATCCTCTTCAGTATCGTGGGAGTACATAATGTGATTTCAGCTTGTGTTCATGTAATGTTGGAACATTTCTATATTTTTTTTACTTTTTTAAAATCAGTGAGCATATGCCATTAAAAAAATAATAAGGCTATGAAAACCAAGTTACTTGAGTGTTATTGTCACTTAAAAGGGATCAAAATTCTATACTGGATTTTTGTGTGTAACACTATATCTCAGTAGATTTTGGAAACCACAGTTGTTCTATTTTAATCTTGAGAAAGTAATTTTCTAAACCTTTCTCTGCTGTTCCTTTCCCCTATATTTGGGCATGCCCGCTTATTTCAATACAAGTTTTTTAGAATGCAGTCCTTGTGTGACACCACACTCCCCTCTAGCGCCTGACAGAAACAAGACAAATACCCGGTCCTGAATAAACTATAAACTAAATGAAGTCCTTTTGCTTTCATGATCCTAAAATAAAAAAGGTGTGTATTTTGTTTGCTTGTTTTCCAAAAACAGTAACTAAAAGGAAAACTGTTCTGTCAGAGCAAATATTTTTTACATTTTTAAAAAGAATCTAACAACATGAATTTGAGAATCTTTTGATCTGCAATCAGAGCCGTACATAGCTATACACACTCAAAAAAGTGTAGATTAGTTTCCCCAAACACTTTTGCATATCTATAAACTATGATGTCAAAGATATGTAAAGAAGGATTACCTTTCTTCAGCTTCAAATTTTGGTACAAAATTATTTGCATAGTTTATTATATCAAACAAGAATATTTAATAACCATATTAATGTATCCTTTTTGTATTCAATATTAAAGACATTATAGGTAAATTCTGTACTAATTAAATGATGTTCTAAGTTAAGAGACAGAAGAACGCAACTGAATTTAAATTTGTCTATTGATTTGTGAAAGGAAATTTGGGTCAAGACAAATAACGGAAACGCTCTTGCCCAACATACCACCCTGAAGAGATTTTCCCCTACTAAAAGCATTCCAATTTTCTTGCTATTTAAAACATTCAGATGATCTCATTTGTGTTCAGATAATTTTTAAAGATTTGTTTTTATGCATACAAGAACTGGGGTGTAGGCCAGAGGTGTTGGGGAAATGAGAGGATTCACCAGAGACAGAGTGGAGAGCAAAAGAGGCAGCTCTACTGAAATACAATGCTGAGGGGAAGAGCAGGCAAGGCAGGAGAGGTCTGCTGTGCCATGTGGGTTAGCTCCCTGGCTGGAAATCGAACTTATTTTGCAGTGGCTGGTGATAGCTTGATATTGCTGAGACTTAACCCCTTCCATTACCCGGGAAGTCCCAGAGAATTATTTAAATATAATTTAGCAACATATCTGAAAATGTGGTAGCACACTGGTAATAAGTATTTAATTTAATGAAACCAAAGTATCTATTTCAGTTAATTCAGTATGGCTAAGTTAATAAGGCACATTAGTTTACCTAATTAACTGCGTATGCATTTTGCAGATGTAGTATTGTGTTAATATGAAAATATAATACTGCTGCCGAAAAAGAATTCATGATAACAGGAAGACAGCATTTTTCAGAAACAACTCAGGAGGTAAGAGTATCTACTGTATAAAGATAAATAATAAGTCATCAAAACTACACATGTATAATGTCTTGGAGATAATACCATAGAGCATCTCTTTCAATGAGATTGTAAAGACATGTGAATGCTGCAGTCCTACTGCTTGATGATGTTATTTCTGATATTTTATATACTATCTTTTCTACAGTTTAGGTTTCCTAAACTGTGAATGCATTTTCTTCAGCCAACTGCCTGTTACTTTGACAATTTATAAGACAGAGAAATTTTACTACAAGTTTCTTGGGAAAAGCTGAACTGACTGAGCTGGAGTGGTTTTTGTTTGTTTAACCAGGGAGCAGGCACTAGAACAGAGGATTTGGAACAAGTTTCCAGGGTAGCAGTTGTGATGAGAGATAAGGCTTAGGAGAGACTAAAATTCAAGCTTTTGTGGAAGACATGGAGATAGCCTCCCAATCCCCTTTTTAAGGTAGATGTTCTGCTCAGCTTCAGGGAGTGAAGTCTGCACACAAGATCAAGCTGCTACTTCAAGGTCTACTACTTCAGCTTCAGAGAGCCATCTTATCCAAATCACCGCTTTTTGGTTGATGTAGTGAATCTAGTGAATAAATAGCAAGAGAATACAAGGGCATGGTCATTTCAGCCTAATGTGGAACACTCTGTCTGACAGGCATTCCTCACTACAGAGATTTGTGGGCCCGCATTGCATTGACTTTCCCATCTGCTCAGTTCTGCTTTCTCCCCTCTCATAAGTTTTGATCCCCTAAACCCCAAACTCTTCTCAGCCTCTAAGTTCAATCTTAGAACTTAGTGATCCACAGATATAAAAAGAGATGGCAAAACATGCACATTTCAGCCCATCATTTGAGCTCTTCTTACCTTTGTTGTTTTTGTGTTACTGAAGCCCATTTTAATTCTGCCCACTTTATCTCACGCTGTCTGTATTAGGGTCCTGTGAGAAAACAGATAGGTATTCCATTTTGAAGGATGGCACTCCACAAATGATGGAAGAAATTGTAATGAAAGACTATTTACAAAGGTGTTGACAGGGTTAAGGGAAACCGGTAAGGGATATTACATTCCCAGGTATGAAGGAGGGGTGACCATTGTCTGGAAAGAGCTATAGTAGAGAACTAAAAGCAACTTGAAGCCTTTGGTAAAGGAACCTGGTCAAAATTTCTTCACTCAAAATTTCTTCACTCTTCTATTTTCTGATTTCCTGAGGGCACCTCATATTGAATAAATCCACTTAGATGTCAGAATAAGGCAACCCTCTGAAGCAGTTCTAAAGGTCTATGTCCAGAGACAGAGAACAGTAGCAAATAGTGATAGCAGATTGGGAGGAGCGAAAAAAGAATACATGTACTGTCATTATTCCTTTACTCTGTGTTTTTGAATAATAATGTGTATATTCTCTACATCTAGTCCAACATTCATATAAAACTTACTGATCAGGGGACTGAGTTGATTGGTCTCAGCAGAGGGTGGGAAAGGAATTTAATGTTTGTGGAGCACAAACTTTGTACCAGTGAGCTTAATATTTCACACACAAATCTCATCTTCCAAGATAGTTATTAATTATTGAAGGCCCATAATGTGTCACTCGCTATTCTAAGGACTGGAGATACACAAGTGAACAGGACAAAGTCCTTGCTTTCATGGACCTTGCATGCTGATGAAAGGAGACAGACAGGCAAACAAATAAATGAACAAGATAACTGCAGGAAGTGATAAGTTATTATGGAGAACATTGTCTACTTGGAAGGAAGTCATCTCTGGAGAGTGACATTTGATTTAAGATGGAATACAAGGATGCAGAAAATCCTGTGCAAATGGAAAAATTAATGAGGAAGTTATACTTCATTGTCTGTAGTTTTATTACCAAAGGTTTACAGAAAAAAAAAGAAGCTATATTGGATGCATTCCAGTATGTCAGAAACAAGACTTTAAGGTAGAAATGAACTTGATGTATATAATCAAGAAACAAAAGGCAGGTAGGGAGTAGCAGGAGATGAATAAGAGATGAAGGCAGAGGTCCAATCTTGCAGGAACTTTTGGCTTCAAAAATGAGTTTTATTTTTTTTTATTTTTATTTTTTTAAAGATTTATTTACTTATTTATTTATGCAAGCACTAGGTACAGTCAGAATCGTGGGAGCGTGAGAGAATTTACCAGAGCCAGAGCGGGGAGCAGAGCAGGCAGACTGAAGTATACTGCTGAGGGGAGCAGCGGGCAGCAGGAGAGGTCTGCGCGCCATGTGGGACACTCCTCCAGTGGCCGGGGAGCAGCCCGGGATTGAACCGGCGCTACAGAGGCTGCCGGGCAGCTTCGCAACCCAGCGCTCAACCGCTGTGCCACCGGGGAGGCCCAGAAATGAGTTTTATTTTCATTTTAATGGGAAACCAAAGAAGTTTTAATGACAGAAATGACATTATTGGGTTTTTATTATAAATTAACCTTTTTTTTTGTTAACATCTACTTATCCTACAGGCCTTTTAAGTTAAATCAGTTAATGAGTTCACCACTCAATATTTATTGAATGAGTGAAAAAATGTTTGCATGAATGAATAAATTAATTCATTTCTTCTCCAGGGCATAACTCGTCATGCCTCATGGCTAAATAAAATTTTATCTTTGTCTCTGTAACTCAACTGCTCTCCATTTCCTCATTTCTTTTTTTTTTAAGGACTTATTTATTTATGCATACAAGAGCTGGGGTACGGGCCAGTGGGGGGGGGCATGAGAGGATTCACCAGAGACAGAGTGGGGAACAGAACAGGCAGAATGACTGAAAGTACACTGCTGAGGGGAGCAGCGGGTGAGTCAGGAGAGGTCTGCTCCGCCATGTGGGTTGCTCCCTGGCTGGCCAGGGATGGAACTCGTGCTGCAGAGGCTGCTAATTGCTTCATAGTGCAGTGCTTAACCCCTTGTGCCACCAGGGAGGCCCCTCATTTTCCTCATTTCAACAAGAAAGTCAAATAATCTTTTCGAATAAACTTTTCTTTTCAATAAAAAATTTGGCCAAAAAAATTGGATCCCATCTTATTGGTAGTATTAGTTTCAGCAGTAAAAATGTAACTATCAACACCCAAAAGAAAACTTTTGGATTCCCAAACACCATAGGGGATGCTTAACAATTTTAAGAACTAAAAAAAAAAAAAAAAAAAAGACAAGTTAAATAGCCACTTCTCCAAAGAAGACATATAGATGGCCATCAGGCACATGAAAAAATGCTCATCTTCACTTATTAGGGAACTGAAAATCACAATCACAATGAGATACCCCTCATCCCTGTAAGAATGGCCCAAAAGACCATAGACAACAAGTGTTGGTGATGACGTGAAGAAAAAGGAACCCTCCTGCACTGTGGATGTGAATTTAGACTGCTTCAACCCCTATGGAAAACAATATGGAAGTTTTTCAAAATATTAAAAATAAATCTCCATATGATCCAGCAATTTCACTCCTAAGTCTGCCCGAAGAATACAACACCAATTCAAAAGGATATACATACTCCTATGTTCATTACAGCACTATTTACAATATTCAAGGTATGGAACTAACCTAAGTGCCTAAGTGCCCAACAACGTATCAGTGGATAAAGAACTATACACAATTGAGAGAGAAAGAGAGAGAGAGAGAGGAAATCTTGCCATTTGTGATAACATGTGTAGGGAGTTACGCTAAGTGAAATAAGTCAAAAGGAGAAAGACAAACACCTAATGATTTCATTTATATGTGGAATATAAAGAAACAAAACGAAGGAACCAACAAAACTAAACCAAAACAGGGCCTCCCTGGTGGCGCAGCGGTTGAGCGCTGGGTTGCGAAGCTGCCCGCGGCCTCTGCAGCGCCGGTTCGATCCCCGGCTGCTCCCCGGCCACTGGAGGAGGGTCCCACATGGTGCGCAGACCTCTCCTGCCGCCCACTGCTCTCCTCAGTGGTGTACTTCGGTCCTTCTGCCTGCTCTGCTCCCTGCTCTGGCTCTGGTGAATTCTCTCACCCTCCCGCGCTTCTGACTGTACCCAGTGCTTGTATAAATAAATAAAAATAAATCTTTAAAAAAAAAAAAAACTAAACCAAAACAAACCCTAGATATCTGACTACAGAACTTGAGACTACCAGAAGTGGAGGGTGAGGAGTAGCAGCAAATGAGGGCGGCAACCGAATAGATTGTGGTGGACTATGGGTGCTTTGGTGGGTGTGACTCTATTCCCCTTAATCATATACAATATTTTAAATAACAATGTCACCTCAATATAAATAATAAATTTAAAGATTAAAAGAACAGCTTATATGGGTTAATTTTATATACTCTTACAGCATCCCCCAAGACCATCCTCTATCACTCCTTGCTGCCATTACTCCCCCACTTATGTAACTTTTCCTTCTTGTCTCTTTTGGTGTCCATGTCCCTAAGTAACCCCCAAGTTTCTTTAATAAAGAAATTAACTCAAAATCAGTAACCTCCCCCACTTCTTTCATTTATCTACTTTTTTCAAAATGTATAAAGTCACTAATACTACTGTTTTCCTTATTTTTTTTCTCTTCTTTTCCCTAGAACATAGAAATAAATGTCCCCATCAATAGACTCATGCTAGAACTTTTAAACTACTTAACTTCTTGGAGCCTCAAAGTCTTTGTTCACAGAAAGACTTGCATAAATGATCTCCATAATTATTTCCAGCTCAGATATTCCATGATGCTCTGAAATTACACTGACTTCTGCATTCAGAACATCAAATTAGACTTAGTGAAAATTCTGTTAATGAGGAGGTCCTACCTGATTTCTAAAAATTGATTACCACATATTGAAAATAAGTAAAGTAGGTATGTAGAAACAGTCCACTATATTAGACACAAGGGATTAGGATATGAAAATACCATGAAATAGTAACAAAAAATAAAATAGATGTTCATTCTCTTATTTAACAAATAGATTTTGAATATCTGCTATCTTCCAGGCATTGTGCTAAGCATATTGTACACATGGGAAGGAAAAGCAGACAGTA